TTAAAGGCACCAATCTCAACAGATACATCGGCAGGTTATCTGACAACAGAACGGCCCGGAGTAAGGGCCTGCGACGGTGCTCCTTTTCCGAAGCTCGTTATCTTATACCAAGTTTACTAATTGGGGACCAGATCACCTGATAAGGATCCGGTGGGCCACCACTCCCCACGTGAGCGTGGCTCGGCGGAAGGAGGTGCCAAGAATCAGTTCGTATTGATGGATCTGTTGGGAATTTATGCGATTAAGAGTACAGCCCACTAAATATTAAAGGTAAAAATTAAGAATACTCTTATAAGAGACGGAGGGCCATCACTCGGTCTCGTTGTGATGCTTTCCAGCCACGGATGGCTTATGGGTTCGAGTGTTTTTGAGTGGTAAGAGTTGTCTTGAATAGTCAGTGTTCGGAGTCGATTCTTTAGGTCAAACAGACGCCTGGTGGTCGTGTGGTGAGGGGGCGGTGCGCGTCATACGTATCAGTCGATCCCGTGGCGAATTGGTTCGGATGGCTGTTGATACGCTGTCGCAGTTCGGAACCCGGTCGGTAGGTGGCGCCCACAACTCGCTCGTAGCGTGCAGCTCTGGGTTGTCGCCGATCCGCGATGCTCACCACTCCGGTGGCAGCAGAGACCCCCGATTCGGCAGAGGTTGACGAGCTGAAGATGAGTCGAGCCGACCCGCTGGTCGCAGCTCGCTCCGGAGTCGACCCTCCCGGTCGAGCTCGCTCCTGGGTCGACCCGCTGGTCGCCCTCGCTCCTGAGTCGACTCTCTGGTCGCACTCCTGAGTGGACCCACTGGTCGCACTCCTGAGTGGACCCACTCTGGTCGCACTCGTTCCTGAGTCGACCCTCCCGTCGCACTGGTTTCCAATGCTCAGGATCCTTTACTTTATGCCGAAAAATCCCCCTGGATCCCGCCCACAAGGCGGGACTTCTTTCGAATTTTTTTTGTGTCAGGATCTGTCCGTAGGCAGGTGTGTCCATGTGTGTGTCCGTACGTCCGTGTGTCCTTGTGTGCATCACTGATGGTATATTCGTTGTCACACTCCCTCCATAAAACCCACGAGCAAACAATCAGATGTTACAATTGCCTCGAGGTCGTCTCTCTGTCTGGGCGCAACATTATCTCCTGTCTGGCCTTCCCCATGAACCCAAAACACAGACGTCACAAATGTCTCATAGGCGTCTTTGTTCGCACCACCTGGAGGGAGGGGCAACGCTCTCTCCGACCCGGCGCACAAAGAAATGGCCAAAAGTTTTAAGTTAACATTTGTCCCTTACTATTTCACAGCCATGATTCCGCATGTAACCCAAGGTCTGTCGTTTCCCATCGTGGTGCCCGACCCAAGTGGAGGCGTCTCCCCGAGCGTACACACACTCCCCTCCCGCGCTGCGGAGATACAAAGACGGCCGGGATCTCCCTTTCTCTCCGACCCTGGGTTTAACATCGTTTTTTTACTATGTATTTATATTCGACCTGGTGGTGATTCATCCCGTTATCCTGGCTTTTCATAAGTTTTACTTTTGTCTTTTCATGCATATGCTTCGGGTCGAGTTGTATAGAAAGCATTAAAGTATGGAAATAACATTTCATATTGACTTAATGATGGTGATGGTTCAGTAGGCGTAACTTGTGGCCTGGTTTAATTGGAGTGGGTGTGAATATCAATAACTTTAGCCTACCCTGTTGTTAAATTCCGACTTTAACGTTACTTTAATAGCAATACAGAATAATTGAGCTTTTTGTCTTAACTAGGCGAACGCGAACTTCTGGTGACCCCCGCAGCCGTGTTATTTAGCTGGGTCTGCCCGCCTTGAGAGATATACAACATTTTTTTTAAATCAGCTCTCCCCTGTCCCTCCAACCTTCTGCTCTGGGAATGTTATTCTTAATTTCAGGTCCAAGGCCTCTTTGGGTTTATCTTTGTTTCCTCAGCTGCAGGAGAACAAGGCGTGCTTCTACCTCCCTTCCTGTGTGCACGTGTTCTAATTAGCTCGGAATCCCTAACACACAATCAGTGATGATTCCTGGCTTTCTGTGGTTATGACTTAGACAAAGGCCCTCTGCTACCTTTCACTGCCTTTGCCTTGAAGCAAGGTTGCAATTCTGTCATCCTAGCCCTCCTCTCGTTCATTACTTAACAACACCTGGTGTTTTGCAGTTTGGTGCGCTTTGGTGTGTTTCACTCATTAAAAAAAACAAGTAAAAAGATAATATATAAAAATCATCAAATATTATTAATCTCAATTATGGAAGAAGGGTTAGGATACAACAAATGTTAGCGTTGGTTGTTTCCAGGTTTTGAGCAACTTATCAATGGCGGCTGGTTTACCGTAGCGTAAGCCCCTATAAGATGTTTACAAGAGTTATCTTTTCACCCAACCCCCACCCATTTTAAATAGGCACTAAGACGGACCGACAGCCAATATGCGCGAAAACAATAATCTATGTTGGAAAGTATAAAATAAATTATTTCCTGAGGCAGCTTATACTTTTAGCCATCTAGCTGCAAGGTGAACGAGTTCACAGAAGCTTAACAAGAGGCAGGCAACGGTGAGTGCAGATTGCCCCATTGTTTGTGGCCAAGATATGAACTGACAGATGTACTTTCTTTCTAGCGAAAATAAGAACATTATGTATACTTTGAGTCATTATCCTGTTATTGTTTTCCTCGAGTTTTTTTTATCTTAGGGATGTATTATCTCTTGAGTTAAATGTCAATATCTCCATGGCTTGAAAAGGCATGGAGCAACAATCATCTTTTATTTGCAGCCCTTTGTCTGAAATGGAAAAATATACTTTCCGATTTTGGGAGCCAGTCTATCCAAATAAGATTAAATACCATCCTACAAAGTGATATTAATTAGGGGTGCCCCAAACAGCACTATTTACTTTTCCGATACATACTAAATACCGTGTTTACATTTCCCGTGAATATGAATTTTAGAACCAAAATATATTTATTTTTTATCCTTTTTTGTATCCTTTAAAAAAAGTAACTGATGAGACCGTCTCCCTCCAGACTGTATTCTGAGTATGGGCTAGGCTCAAATGCGGAGGCTCAGCTTGGCCGTGAAGCTGCTCACTCAGTTTCTTTCAAACAACGCTTGAGCGGCATAGCCTTGGCATAGCCATAAAATTGCCAACACCCCCATACAATTATACACATCTGGGCTGCTCTTTACAAATACCCTTGCATCCTACGCATAGCCATCGTAAGATGGGAGGAATAATTTGATAGAAACAGAAAGAAACACACAGACACAGAAGCACATGGAGTGGTAGATACATGGGGAGAGACACAAACTATACAATAGAAATGACGAGGCATAGTTACCAAGAAATTACAGACAGACACCCACAAATAATTGTCACACATGGTGCAAACATCTCATCATAGCCACCTAACTACCTCCTACCAAAAACCCACCAACTGCCATCAGACCCAACTTTCACTTCGATGACATTGTTTATAACCACAGCACCATGAATCTAAATTTGAAGTTTTCGTGACTGCAGGGATCCATATTCTTTGGTTCTTTCGGTAAAGTTGCGTAGGTATAACATGAAATAAATTTAATCACGACGTTTTGGGCGCAACACAAGCATCCATCATCAGGTGGGACAACCACAGCAAGAAACAATTGTTGAAGTGGACAAAAGGGCTGCTTGTAACAAGAGGCTATGTCGGTAAGAGAGGGGGGAGGAGCCAGGGAGGAGAGATAGAGAGGGTGGGGGTGTGGGGTAGGGAGAGTGGGGAGCTACAATCACGACAAAATGCCGGGGCTGGGAAGTGAGCGGGGCTGGGGGTAGGAGGCTGAAGAAACTGGAGATGCGGATATGAAGGCAAACTATAAAGCAGTTAAGGTTTTACCTGGTTAATAACATCCTTCCAATGATTGCTCAATTTGTATCCATCTTCTCGGTTGAAGTTATGTCTATGTTTATATATCTGGATGGTTTCATGAACAAACCTTTGATAGTAGCCTGAAGGTTTGCAGAGCACCTTGGTCTCGGAAAAAACAATATCATGAGAGCCCACAGCGTTATAGCAATGGTCAGCCACGGCGGAGGTATTAGTCCTAGCGTGTTTCAGATCTGACTTGTGCTCGCGAACACGGTCCGCCGATCAAAACAATCACGTTACCGTACATAGCAAGCGTTACCAAAAAGATTTCCAAAATCTTAAACAAACACAAGATCCAGGTCCGATTCAGTACAGTACACAAAATCCGTGATCTAATCCCATCTGTGAAGGATGTCATTCCTGACATGCAATATCCTGCAGTCTACAAACTTAGTTGCACCTATGGTGATTGTTACATTGGGGAAACGAAACGACATGTCTCGGACCGTGTTCGCGAGCACAAGTCAGATCTGAAACACGGCAGGACTAATACCTCCGCCGTGGCTGACCATTGCTATAACGCTGTGGGCTCTCATGATGTTGTTTTTTCTGAGACCAAGGTGCTTTGCAAACCTTCAGGCTACTATCAAAGGTTTGTTCATGAAGCCATCCAGATATATAAACATAGAAATAGCTTCAACCGAGAAGATGGATACAAATTGAGCAATCATTGGAAGGATGTTATTAACCAGGTAAAACCTTAACTGCTTTATAGTTTGCCTTCATATCCGCATCTCTAGTTTCTTCAGCCCTCCTACTCCCCCAGCCCCGCTCACTTCCCAGCCCCGGCATTTTGTCGTGCTTGCAGCGCCCCACTCTCCCTACCCCACACCCCCACCCTCTCTATCTCTCCTCCCTGGCTCCTCCACCCTCTCTTACCTATATAGCCTCCTTGTTACAAGCAGCCCTTTTGCCCACTTCAGCAATTGTTTCTGGCTGTGGTTGTCCCACCTGATGACGGACGCTTATGTTGCGCCCGAAACGTCGTAATTGAATTTATTTTATTTTATACCTACGTGACTTTACCGAAAGAACCACAGCACCATGCACTGGGTGTGGATGCGGTGCTATGAATGCAGTAGGCGATGAGTCCTACCTTTGATGTTGATGAAGTGGTTAAAGAAGCGCACGGGCCTGATGTCCAGGAAGGGCACCAGGTCCTTCATTCCCACCTTGAAGGGGTTGCGGTCGTCCAGTTTGAGGTGGGTATGCACGGACAGTCGGAGGTCCTTCTCTATTTCCTTGCACAGCTTGTCCAGCAAGTGCTGTGGGCAGGTGGATTAGGAAGCACATGCATTATAACGTAACACGAAATTCCCCACCTGTTTCAATGAAAATCTTGGCAGAGTAAGAACACCAAGCCAAATAAATTCTTAACATTGTGTTGTAAGGAAAGAAAACAACAGATGGCTAAATTCGTGACGTTTTTTTTTTAGGTTAGATTGAGTAAATATAAATGTGTCGTTAATCCACCACTACCCGACCCCATAAGTTAATAAGATTCGTCACGTAAATAAGACGTGCCAATTATTGTACATGTTATGGGTTTACTCTCCAATACACCAGTGTCCTGAAGTAGAAAATAAGTGGCACGTTTTGTTAACGTGACAAACCTTGCTAATTGGCTGTGTTGGGTGGTGCTGGGTTAACAACACATTTATATTTAGGTGATATAACCCTACAAAAAAACCCTTTAATACGAATGATATTGGTCGCAAAAGTCTTCGTGTGAAGACGGCTAAATGTTATTCGAATGGCCCTTGCCGTAGCTTTTTTAGACTCCCACTAAGGCTGCCTGCCAATACCATCACATGCTCTTTGGGGAAGGGGACACACTGACATATTGATTATTGTCAAAAACGTTAATGTGGGACGGTGTTCAATAATGAGCCAGTCACGATGACCTGATGTGTGAAGACATGTATGTGGATCGAGAGGAGTGGGGATACAGCACAGAGATGACTGCGTGACACACAATGCATCAGTATGCGACACATAATGCATCAGTATGCGACACAATGTATCCGTATGCCACACACAATGCATCTGTAGCGACACATAATGCATCGGGTATGCGTCAAGTAACCGCCACTCAAGCACGAACAACTACAGCAGCCTATGATTATACTGGTTTCTAAAACATAGCAAATTGATGGTTTCAGCCCGGTCACCAATGATTGCACAAAAATTCAATCATATTAAATGTGGTTCTGCACTTAATTTAGTGAAATTCCAGCACTGAGACTGACAGACATCAGTTTGAATGCCTTATACTCACAATACATGCATCAATGTACATGAAAGGTATTATAATTTATGAAAATTGTATGCGAATGATATATTTAAGCAAACAAAAACAAGACACAAACATGGGTTAATAAGACAAACAAGGCAGTGAAATCAAGACAAAAATGTAAACAAATTATTGCATTGAATTGTTACTTCTCATTAGAATTGAATCAATGGTGTGGAGGGGGGGCTTTAGGGGTGGAGTGATAATCATCAGTCTTTCACTCAACATTCAACAGAGTTCTGGGTGGTGGTCATCTTCATTGGTGGCCCATGAGTCAATGGCGGAAACTCTACGTCCCCAGGAGCGAAGCACTCGGATGTATCTTACAATAAGGGTGATGTTCACACCAAAACTGAAAAAGGAAACTGGGATTCTGGTAAATAACTAGGGAGAGACTTAGGGTTCGGGTCAGCGGAAAGGCTTAATACTGGTTAAGGGTTGAGTCATTATTGGGTTAGTTGTTGTGCTGTGCACCAAATTGCTTGTCCCCCCCACCCCTTCTCAATTGCAAAAATTGACCTTTTCAGTTTGTGGTTGCTCTTTGTATATGGTGTTTATAGCAGCTTACAGTGGGTTTTTCTTATGAAAGCCAAAGCAGAAATATCAACTATTATTACGAACAAGTTTCCTGTGGGACACACTTAAGTGATTTCCATCAAACCTCGATTTTTAAATATAAACACCTCACTTTTACTCTTGAGATGCATGCCACACTTTCTGTACAGCATCCTACGATGTATTTGCATTTAGATATTCTATGAATAAAATGTTTTAATGTTATGCACAGAGCAACCACTGTTGACTTTTCCACAAGATCTTCCAAACACATTTTTACTGCCATGGGGGAATGACGGACTGAGCAAAATTCTGACTTGAACTCACACCCTTCCAATTAAGAGTACAGTGCTTGAGACATGGTACCACCTTCCCAATTAAGGATGACGAAGGTCACGGCACTGTAATGCAATCAGAATGTAAATCATTGGTGTTGTAAGAAAATTATCCGGTGATGCTTCACTGGCAGCAGTGCACTAGCACAATTAACAACAAAAAAATCCGTCAATTCGTCAATAACACTGGTAGCTTTGCAAGAAAAAATATATGTGCTCCTATCATGCCTATACTTAGGTATTTACTACTATAGTGGCATTTATTATGTAACACTGCCTTAAAAAAAAAAAAATCTATGTGACGTTTCCGGAAATGATGTGCGATGAAGAAAGGCCAGTGAACGAAGCATCCCCATACACTATATATTTAAACCTTAAATAATGTGTGGTGTAGAAAAGAATGTTTGGAAAAAGTAGAGATAAAGAGATAGACTTGGACCCAGTGGCTAATTGATATCCTAAATTAACTGGACAGAATCATATCAATATTCTGCAGACACTCCTACATTTAGACTCGACTGAGACTGTAAAAGTAAAAGGAAATAAGTGCACTAGCGGGAAGTACCCGGCGTTGCCCGGGGGAAAAATATATATCTAAAAACTTCTCATAAAAACATACTGGCAGACCGGAAGTGACGTCATGGATTCAGCCAGTCTAACCAAAGGGGGGTTCTAAACAGTTGGAATATTCCAAGTCAAGTATGCCCAATCTGTCAACAAATGTATAACAGATGTTCATTAAATGTATACACAGAAATAATACATTCCCTTTCTGTCTTATGGCTCTTACAGTTTCTAATGACAGTAGTAGTATCTACTTACTATACAATAGTATCTACTGACCGTAGTAGTATCTACTGACTGTATAGTAGTAACTACTGACTGTAGCAGTATTTACTGACTCTATAGTAGTATCTGTCGACTCCATAGTAGTATGAACCAACCCTATAGTAGTAAATACTGACTCTACAGTAGTATCCACTGACTATAGTAGCAACTAACTCGATAGTAGTATCTGCTGACTCTATAGTCGTAACTACAGACTCTGCAGCAGTATATACTGACTATAGTGGAATCTACTGACTGAAGTATTATATACCGATTCTAGAGTAGTATCTACTTACTCTACAGTAGTATCTACTGAATCTATAGTAGTATCTATTTACTCTATAGTAGTATCTACTGACTCTACAATAGCATCTACCGACCACATAGTCATATCTACCGCCTCTATAATAGTATATATCGACTCTATAGTTCTACTGACCTGGTATCGACAATCAAGGGAATTTCCATCCCCAGACGACCTGCTTGTCAGTTTTGATGTGGTTTCCTTATTCACCAAAGTTCCTGTACCTGACACCATCGCAATAATTGAAAACTTGGTTCATCAAGGACTGAATACTGAGGTACCCCCCTGGTGAGACACTGCTTAACCAATACATTCATGGAGAAATTTGAGACTGACGCCATCCAGACTGCCACTCTACACCCGACCTTATGGAAGAGGTACGTAGATGACACTTTTGTCATCTGGCCACATGGCCGGCCTGCTCTAGACCAATTCCTCGACCACATCAATTCCATACACCCAGCCATCAGATTCACCATGGAAGTCTAAAAGGATGGCAAGCTACCCTTTTTGGATGTCCTAATTAAAAGGAGACCTGATGGTTCAATGAGCCACTCTGTCTACAGGAAAGCCACCCATACGGCTGCTTACCTAAAACCGGATTCCCACCACCATCCATCCCAGAAAAATTCCCTCATCAAGACTCTACACCATAGAGCCCAATGCATCTCCGACCAGGAACACATTGCCAGTGAACTCAAACACGTACGCCAAGCTCTTAAGGCTAATGGTTACTCCGACTACACAATCCGCAAAGCCATCACTCCAACCATCAAGAAGGATCCTGTTGAGGAGCCTTTCAAAACCATCACCTTACCCTACATTGTTGGGGTCACAAAAAAGATCTCCAAAATCCTGATTAAACACAAGATCCAGGTCCGATTCAACACAGTACATAAAATCCGTGATCTGGTCCCGTCAGTAAAAGATGTGGTTCCAGACATACAGTACCCTGGCGTCTACAAACTAAGTTGCCGCTGCGGTAGCAGTTACATTGGAGAAACCAAACGACATGTCTCGGACCGCATCCGTGAACATAAAGCAGACCTGAAACACGGTAGGACAAACACCTCAGCCGTGGCAGATCACTGTTACAATTCAGTGGGCTCTTATTACATTGACTTCTCCAAGACAGAGGTTCTCTGCAAGCCATCTGGCTACCATGAGAGATTCGTTCATGAGGCGATCCACATATACAAACACAGAGACAATTTCAACCGAGAAGATGGATTCTGGCTCAGCAATCATTGGAAGGACGTAATAAACCATTTTGGATCTTAACTGATTGTGTTCACGTTTACGGTGACTTTCAGACCGCAGTCCACTCACTGACATTGACTATATATCTTTTATTCTCCGCAGGGAATGGATTCTTTGCTCCGCTGCAAGTCTCCTACCACCACTCTCCCATTGACATATGTCGTTGCTTCCTCTTAGTACCTTTCACGCGACGGTCAATGGTATAGTGTATAGCAGATAGTATAATAATAAATAGTATAAAAGTGTAATGTTTAATATAATGTAGAGGTAATATATAGTATCGGAATTTTATAGTGAATATACAGCAGTGTGGTATACAGTAGCGTAGGTAGAATAATACATAGTGTAATATTACAATGTATAGTCTAAGGTATAGGGTGGTGTATAGTAATGCAGTGTATAATTTAATGTTGGGTTTGTCTATGGCAGTATATCGTACGGGGTAGACCCGTGTGATGTGAGAGAAAAGTTTAGCTGGAGGCACATTATATTTTTTGCGACATAGAATTGTAATGTATGACTTACTGTAAGTAGCTCAGCTTATTGGAGAGTATATTTAGTATATTGATGATACTAATGTAGTTCATATTTTAGTTTTTTACGTGGTGGTTTAGCTACTGCAGCTCCTTACTATTAAAATTCCTTCCCTCTATTACTGCTAACCCTACTCCCTCTCTTTGATGCTGCTAATCATGCATACCGCAAAATGCACGGGCATAATGACTTTGACCCCCCCCCTCCCCACCTCCTACGCATTCCACAAGTAGTGAATAATCCCATATCTGCATTTCCCATAAATATGCTAAACTCCTCTTGATATGCAAATTCCTTTGTCAAGGCGCCCTCCCCCCTCCAACCCAGCTTAAATATATGCTGCCAAGCCTGGTGGTGCCCATTCAGACGCTGTCTTTCCGACAGACCTGTTCTTCACCTGAGGACGGCTGTTGCGTTGTGGCCGTAACGTCGTGAGAATTATTTAATTATGTTTTATTTTTATTATTTTATTATTTCCCTTCTACGTGACTTTACCGAAAGAACCAAGAAGATCTATAGTTCTAACTACTAACTTCAGTGCCGTGGTGAGGCCTAGTCCCATGCACAGTACCCGGCCTCGCCTAGATTGCCCAGCCAGCCAAGGTGGCACCTTTGCAGGCTGGGGCTGGGCTGCTACACAGCCCCCCACCATCCCCCTGCGAATTATTTTTTCCCACCCCCACCGAAATGAAATAAATGTAATCAAAGCAAGCCCAGTTATTTTATTACACAGCTACATTATAATACAAAGATCTCTACGGTGCGAATTTAGCAAACGTGATAGACAGGCCATCAAATATATAGGATACATCATATACTCGGCGAGATTGCAACGTCTTTGAGGTCACTTCATTGGGTATGCATTCATGATAGACCAGTAGATTATAAGCTTGTTGTTTAAATCAAGGAAGTTAGATTACACAATTCGCTAATTAACCTGTGCGGTATAATTAATGCTTCTGATGGACAGAAAACGTCAGTTTCCGGTTGTCTAATTTAACTGTAACAAGTAATTACGATACTTATGACCCCACAGATTTGCACTGATGCAGCAGACACATAAATTTGTTCATAAAATAGCAGGAAATAGGCCTACAATTTGAACAAACACTACAAGTGTAGTGTTGTACTTATACAGACACTTAACTTTTCTCCTGTGTCACTTTATTTACCTTGCGTCCAGTGTGGATGCTCCTCACTTACACTAACACACACACCACCCTTGTTCTGAACTCTCCAACTTCCCCCTACTCACCTCCGCACAACCCGTGCGCGGTAACCACTCTGTATCCCCCGCTCTCTCTCTCTCACTCTATACTCCGCTACCCTGTCCTGCATTCCCTCACACCTCCGACGTATCCCTGCCCCCAGCAGGGGATCAGCCAACACTGCTGGGGAGGACGAGGTGAGGAGGGCGAGGTCCCAGGAGTCTTCTCCCCGACTCGTGTTCTTCACCCCTTGAGCACCAACCAACCAACTTCCCATGCTGCTCCGCACACTCCCTTATATATCCCTCCTCATGTTGGGTCCCCACTTACACCCCCATTAAGCTGGCGTCTCCACGGCACCTCCGGCACGTGCTATTTCATTTATTGCCTTCCATCTCCCGCCTCTCCGGCGTCTACCCCGTGCCCCAACGCGCACACCTGTTCGTCCCCAATTGCACCGACCCAATCAATGCTTCTCCCCCTATTGCTACCGCCGCTCCGACGCCAAATCCATGTCTCCACGCTTGCACCTGCGCGACCTCAGTTGCACTCTCTCCATCCATGCTTTACCCCCTAATTGCTGCCACGCCACTCCAGTGTCACCTCACCCTTTTGCTAACCCCGCACGTTACGCCACTACACAAGCATAAAACATTAAATATAGAAACAATAACTGATATTCACAATTTGGTTTAACTCGCCCAATATAGAATTACATTTTATCCAATTATGTAATAATGACTGGCGAAAGTCCTATATTGAGTGTCTGTATCTCTACAATTGTGCCGTCAGCATAATAGCAAGAGACAAAGACATTTCCGTTTGTAACTATTCCAGTGAGCAGTGTATTAGCCCCTGGAATATGACAACACAGCACTACTTTTGAAATTATATAAATAGAACCCTGAAATTAATAATTTGCAGCACTATGTCAATTCTCTGTTGGATGAAGGCCTCCCCACGCCACGTCGATCATAGGGGTAGCTTGACTTTACTTCACCACAATAGTCAGTGTGGGCTATTGAAGGGAGGGCACCAGGACTGATTCAGATATAATTTGCCACTATGTGTCAGCCGTGGCTATCAAACAGCAAGTCCTCAATTTAGATTGCTGCTCTTTATCTTGTTTCACTATAACGTCACCAACGAATTATGGAACATCATCTCATTTAATATGCATTGATTCACTTCAACGTTGTTTTGAAAATTTTAAAGAAAAGAACGCAACGGCACCGGCTTTAACTTGTGGATATGCTCTATTACAAGTTTTTCTCTTCTAGTTTCTCAGTTTTAATTCCAAGCATGTACCTCTCCACCCTTATTTGTATAATTTTCCTAATTTTCTTTGTATTCATCCATGATTCTGATTCATATATATGAACGTATTGGTGGTACACCGGTATGAAAACACATTTTTGCACAATATAAAAGCACAATATAAAAACACAGTTTTGTGCAACAATTATTTATTTTCACACAATTCGCAACCCCGGTCAGTAAATCTTGTAGGTACGTTAAAATCAGTTTGCGTGATGTCGAAGCAGTCGGAAGACGAATGTCAGTTCACATTTTTATTTTACGACTGTTTTATGAGAACCAGTGTGTTATGCTGCACCGGTGTACTGCCAATACATCCATATCCTAACAGGCAATATACAATGGCTTGAAATATCTTCAATAGTTTGATAGGAATTGCTTAATGAGCTTAGTTTCTATACCACTTCCATTTCAAGAAGGATTCACTATGTTTTGAGTTACGTTTTAAAATGTTTGCTCAAAGCTAGCCCAAGGGTTTATTTTAATGATAGAGTGCATCCTACAGATCAAAGTACTTTGTGCCACAGAAATGAATGAATTGTGTGTAATATGTAAGGTGTCCATTTGTAAGGAGTGGAAATCATTGCAGGTGTTCCACATAACTATAATCTTCACATTTTAAATAAGCTACATGTGCTTGTGCTATAATGTAAGCATATTACAAAAAAAACGTCTAGCCTGTATATATGTAAAGCAAATTTGAGCTCTAATTTTCAGAATACACAAGAGGTGAACAACCAATAAGAGGGTTTCGGAAATTCAAATTAAATCACTCATTTGGCAGTAAATGCTCGAGTAGGATTAAACCACTTTATATTGGAATGTTTTTTTTTTATAAATTAACTGTGCATCGGCTCAGAAAGGTATCTTTATTCAAGATGTTTTGTGACATAAAAGGTCAAGATCCAGTGTCTCCATACAGAGATAACCATAATATCAGCATGAGAATCTTTACTTATCCTGGAGAAATCCGATGAGCTATGAAGCTATTTTTTTCACAGATGTCCAGTAGGAGCGGGTCAATACAAAACAAAACAGGAGTGCAGAGTTTAGGAAATGTAAGCAAATCACTGAATAAAAATAAATAGCAATAAAGTAATATACTAAAACTAAGCCAAGTGGTGGTGGTGCACGTCTGTAATAATCTGGTACAATGGAGGCACAAGGGTTGTTAAATCACACAACTGTTGTTAAACTTCCTTCCAGTGGACGTCAAGGTGCCGTATCCTGGCTTTTTAGGAGGCAACTGCACAAATGGGGACTCCACCTATCTGTCTGTATGGGATAGTACTTCCCTCTCACATGCGTGGGTTTTCTCTGGGTCTTCCTGCTTCCTCCCACATGTAAATACCCATTATTTGGCCAATAACACCTTATAATAGGAGGAACGCAGAGCTCGGACAATTATTGTGCGCCGGCTCATCGCGTGACTACCTTCCTCCTAATCTGTGAATCCTCATGTTCCTTAAGTCGTTCTCTCTCCACGAGCGAGAGCGAATACTTTGCGCGTTAAATTCTGCCATCGCTGTACACCCAGCAGTATAAGTGGGTACACCGGATCATTGATTAGGGGTACTCCTATCTCTTCCAAGACATCTGGCAAGTGGAGAAGAGTAGGCCAAAATATCTTCTCGAGGGACTCTTTAGAGCTCCCTCTAGTGGAGGCCCTTCTGCCTGCAGTGGAGTGAGTAAGCAATTGCAGGGATGCATCTTTAACTAAAGTTACCATTGACCTCGTATAAAGTGGTATTCAGTTTGTTCACAAAGGAAGGCTAAGACAATCCCTGACCAGGATATTAATTTTCAACTCTGTAAGCATCACAGGCACTGTAACCACAGCACCACCTGGCCAGATAATTTAAAAGAAATTGGTTGTAATATGATGACAATATTACACTCCACACATACAGCCAAGTTACTGATTGCTTCAGCCAAACCCAAACATGTAACCAAATAATATGATTCCAAAAATACCACAACGTTAGTTAAGTGCTCAAATACCACTCACCACAGTCAAATTATATACTTAGAGACCAACAATAATAAGCGCAATCGCTGGAGATCAGAGCTGTTGCTAACACCTTTTAATGAAACATTAAAAAAATGTCAAATCTTATACTTGCTTTTCAACATGACAGGTTTTCTGAAAAACACATTCAATTGGCACATTTGCCCATACGACAACTCTATTTGCGTGGCTTTGTTGGGTAGTGATAGTTGCATATCTCTAAGTGACATAATACCTACACGATCTAAACCAAAAGAAACCAATTAAGGATCTATGACATTCTACAAATGCTGATTTTAACACAGCAACCATTATTTATATGTGTATTTATTTGATTAGCATTGCATTAAGATGTGGATTCCACTTTTCAAGGCACCATGCAAGCAAAGCTACCTCCTTGAAGACTTGGGTGATCTCCTTGTTGAAGGCATCCAGCAGCGGCTGGGGGGAGTCCAGGTGACGGATGTACGTCATGGGCGGCACGCAGTCTCTCAGAGCTGCAAACATGTACTGCAACAACAAAAAGGATATCCACCAGGGAGATCGAGTGATGAGATCAGTTCATGTATGGGTGATGGATTATTGTAATGCAGGACAGTGAAAAGTGGTAGGGGCTATGGGAGGGCTTCATCCAGCAGTGAATTGATCATGGCTGATGATGGGAAGCCGGGGTGGCAAGGTGTTAAACCCCTCGCCTGGTATGGAGGAGATTGTGGGCTCAATCCCAACCCGGACACCTGTATATTTGGAGTTTGCATGTCTCTCTCCCCGTGGTGGCGTGGAATTTTCTCGGTGTCCTCCAGTTTTTCCCTCCCCATTCAGCAACATGCATTTTAAAGTATTTGGCTGCTGAGATATGATTCTTGAGATATCATTTGTGGCCAGGTCACTTCTGAAAAAGAGCTATATCGCTCAGTGGGCCTTGCCGTGTAAAATTAAAAGTTTATAGTTGATATTCTTGGGTCCTTCAGTAAAGTCACGTAGATAGGTTCAAAGAAAATAACAAAAAATAACAAAAAACTACGACATTTCGATCGCAACACAAGCGGTCGTCTTCAAGAAAAGGGGGGTTATCTTCCAAGGCAAACTGTTTATAAGGGTTTATAATGGGCGTCACCCAAATATCAGCAGCCAATGATAATGTAAGCGGTGGGCAGCCAACCCGACGGTGGTTGGTTTTCCACCAATGAAAGGGCTGCTAGGTGAAAATTAGCATGTTAAAGAGAGATTAGCATACTCTTTGGTTATTTCGGTAAAGTCACGTAGGTATGTGACTTTACCGAAAGAAACAAACAGTATGGATTCCTGCAGTCACGAAAGCTTCAAATCAAGAGATTAGCATGTTAATGGGAGATTAGCATGTTAATGAGGGATTGCAGAGCCACAACCAAGGGGTGACTGTGAAATGGGTGTTAAGCACAACCAACATCGGAAGGTGGTAGGATGGGAACATTACAGCCAATTATGACTTAAACTAGTTGATAACGTCCTTCCAATGATTGCTCAGTTTGTACCCATCTTCTCGGTTGAAATTGTGTCTGTGTCCATATATATGGATGGCTTCATGAACGAATCTTTGTTGATAGCCAGTGGAATTGCAAAGTACCTACGTCTTAGAGAAATAAATTTCGTGTGAGCCCACGGCATTGATCAGCCACGGCCGAGGTATTGGTCCGACCGTGTTTCAGATCTGCCTTATGTTCACGAACACGGTCCGAGACATGTCACTTAATTTCCCCAATGTCACTACTGCCGCAGACACAGCTTAGTTTGTAGACGCCGGGTTATTACATGTCAGGGATCACATCCGTCACAGATGGGATCAGATCACGAATTTTACGTACTGTGTTAAATCGAACCTGGATCTTGTGTTTGCTCATGATTTTGGGAAAAAAAATTAAGTGACCCCTGCTATGTATGGCAAGGTGATGGTTTTGATTGGGTCCTCAGATGGTTCTTTCCTAACGGTTGGGGTGATAGCTTTACGGATTGTGTAGTCTGAATATCCATTCATCTTGAGAGCTTGTGTACACGTGTTCCAGTTCACAGGCTAGGTGATGACGGTCGGAAATACATCCGAGCTCTATGGTGTAAGGTTTTGATGAGGAAATTCTTCTAGGATGGATGGTGGTGGGAGTCAGGTTTTGGGTAGGCATCCGTATGGGTGGCTTTCCTGTAGACAGTGTCCAATTGAGCCATCCGGTCTCTTTTCGATTAAAACATCCAAAAATGGTAACTTGTCATCCTTTTCCACCTCCATACACCCAGCCACAGTACAAGCTGAAGACACATCCCAGAGTAGGCCTCGGCTAGGTAAGGTAAAAGTTAAAAGGTAAAAACAACGAGCCTACCTTTACCCTACCTTTTACCTTACCACAATACAATCACTCTACCCTACCTTTTACCCTTTAGCAGGTAAGGTAAAAGGTAAAAAGCAACGAGTCTACCTTTTACCCTACCTTTTACCCTTACCCCATACAAATTACCCGACTACAGGGTAATTAATAGGGAACTACACATGAACAAGGTTTATAACGGTAAATGCTATAGGTAGAGCGCTTTATTCATATAGAATACTCTCGATGATTTCAATTTTACACGCTTGTTGTTGGCGTCGTTGTCGTATCCTCAAATCTTGCAACTCAATTTTGACCCACTTCCTGTGGTATCGACTGCAAACTTGGTATACTTATGTCATACTGATGACAATATATTCTATCATAAAATAAGTAAGTTTTTAAACATTATTTTTTAAATGTTATGTTTCGGCTTGGGTCTAATTGTCCACGGTCAACTGACGTTGGCTGTAAATCACCAAGGCCCCCTTACGTTATGGCAAGCTTTGGGACCACTTCCTGGAGTCGTGGAGTTCTGCCATTACTAGTACATTTCATAAAAGCGTGTTTTTTTAAATATTACTAATTAAATGGAGGCCACGGACTGCGCCACGGAGCTTTTAGCGGTAAACAAGGCACCGTATTTACCGGGTAATACTTCACGCTACCTTTACCCTACCGGGTAATTCTTCCGAGCTACCTTTACCCTGTACCCTTTACCTTACCCCTTGGCATGTCGACACCTTTCTCTTTACCCTTTTAACCGGAAAAAAGGGTAAATTACCTTACCTTGCCGAGGCCTATCCCAGATCTATGGAGCACAGCCGTGTTCTGCAAAAACTGTTTTCTGCATATACTGTTTTTGTCACATATCAATGAAATCAAAATATCAAATATCAGAGCTGAAATAATAAGATGGGAAAAAATTAAGACTTTTTTTGTACAGCCATTGATGACCAGGATGAGACCATCAACTAATCAGACCTGAGAACGTTGTATAATCACATTACTGCTAAAATTGCAACCCAGGATCCTAAGCGGTGTTTATTCAGTGTTCTGACAAGTGCATGAGCCCATTGAGTCATCCAGCCACTGGAAAATTATTACTATAACGTACGTGCATACGCGATGAATCACTCGCGCCATCAAACACGTCGTCCAGATAGATGGGAATCACACTTCTGTGCCAGTACAGGAAGCTGCAGTCGCAGAGTGAATGCAGCCTGAAGGGAGAGAGAGCAGCATGCGTTAATATATTCCAAGCACTGTGAACTTCAAACAGGGAAATCTCAAGGGCATGAGTATTGAAATTATCTGAATTGTGAACCAATTAAGCCAAATACACACATTTTATCTAAAATCTTTGTAAATGAATTTTCAAATGATCAAGCCTGAGATTAGACACATAATGAAAGAGTACATACTTAAAACGATGGTTTGTATTCAACTGCTGCCTTCAGTGAAGAGGTGCTGCCATAATGACTCTGGGCCTCTTGAAACGAGTACCACATTGTGTAAGTCCACAATGGTTGTGCCCATGAATAGACTGGTCCAGATAAAAAAAAAAAAATGTGGAATTTTTACCATGGGCTGAGGATCATCATGCTTGCTTGACCAAGCAGGTGGTTGAACAACCCATAGAGTAGTTGTAACATGGTACATTTTGAAATACTTTTATTAATCATAATTAATCATTCACAACCTTTGTCAATCAACTGCTGCTTGAATTACTTTTCTATCCATGTGAGTTGTGTGATCACGCTCCACGCCCCTGGCAGTGCAGACTGTTGAAGCAGTGGGAGGGCACACCAGCTCAGATATCATTTGCCACTGATTTTAGCCGTTGTCGGGAATTCAAACTTGGGTGGCCACGTTCATAGTCCACTACACCGCCGCCCACCCGCCGCCCCCGCCTGCCTAATGTCTATTAATATACGTATTCACATTTACTGGATTTTAAGTGCCACTTTAGGTGGATTTGGTGAAACAACCCCAAGATGGACCTTCCTCAGCAGTAGCCTATTTGGAGTTAAAGGTGATTCATGTTATTATTTTAACTAAACGGAAGCTGCAACCCAAAAAAATGAAACCAACTGTTACCTTCTTATCATATACCTAGGTTTTTATGTCTCGGCCTTTCTGGTTAATGAGAAAACATGTCTCTAAGTGACTTGCAAGTGTGCCGGTGTTGGTACTCTGTTAATTCCGTATTTCTGAAAATATCCCTGCAGTGATGCACAATAACATCTCTGAAGCATTTTAAAACGTTTCTAGTCAACAAAAGTTTTCAACCATGAATAGAACAGAGGCGAAAAATGGAGCTAAAAACTTGTTATAATAATAATAATAGGGTTTTTCCCCTTTTTTCTGGCAGCAAAACTGAAACCTTTTTACAAGGATTCATGTCTGCATTAACCACAACATTTGCAGTCGAAATGCAAACAAAAACACACTATGATAATATATGCATTGTCCTTGAAACTGATTGGTCCACACCAAGGGAAAAACCCTATTATTATATTTTGGTACTGGAAAAGGAGCTCTAATGATGAAAAACTTCTTTTGTCATTGTTCCAAGTGAAAACTAAAAACTGAACCCACAATATATTTTTTTTCCGGAATACAAAACCCCAAGGATGCGGTTAATGGTGAGAAACCAGTTTAAAAATAACTTTCAATTTGCAGCTTGAATGTCAAAAAAAAGTTTAAAAAGCTGCAATCCCTAGGGGCACATTGACTGTGAATTACAAGGGATTCACCGAGTGACTGCACAGGAGACACTAGACCTCCAAAACCCCTCTTCTTGGTTCTTTCGGTAAAGTCACGTAGAAGGGAAGTAATAAAATAATAAAAATAAAACATAAAACAATTCTCACGACGTTTCGTGAGAATTGACGTTTCGTGAGAATTTTTTATTATGTTTTATTTTTATTATTTTATTACTTCCCTTCTACGTGACTTTACCGAAAGAACCAAGAAGATGAATCCCTGCAGTCACGAAAGCTTTAAATCGAAAAACTCCAAAACCTGCTCAACAATACGACTCAGCGACAAACACGTAAAAGCAACAACCGCCGTTTGGTAGAGTAATGTCACAAAGGCGCATGTGCAAGGCTAGGTGACCAGTGGCGGGTGGGCAGAGAGACTCTTGAAGCATGGTTTACTACAGAAGGTATGTGTTAATGCAACTCCACAGCACTAACGATTGCAAGAGTTCCCCCATGACCGATGAGTGGGGTGTGTCCTTACCTCTCCCGCAGATCACTGATCAAATCCAGTTTTTTCATCACAAGCTGCAGGGACAGCAGCTCATCTTCCCGGAAAATTTTCTACAAGATAAATTGGAAACTCGTTAACACAAATGCCTGAATAATCATATCACATGCATACGTTGACTATATCCTACTGATTATATTCTCGGTAGGCTTTATTCTAAGAGCTGGGTTTTCATATTGAAGATGTGCAAGCTTGAAATACGTTTTCAGTGGGAATCACTGATGAGAATTTGTCACTGATACCACCACACACTTTGCCATCCTTTCAATTGTTGCACAGGAGACACCAGACCTCCCAAACCTGCTCTAAAGATCTACCACCATGTGATTTTAGGTATTTCCCTTGCTCGATGCCACTCAGTGTCTGTGTTGGGAACCTGCTTTCCTCGATCCTGCACCACTGCAACCCTGCTCTTAATGGTACTTTCCTGCCATAGTGTATTCTGAACTTTGCAGTTGCTTATCCCATACAATACTTTCAGCATTTTTCAGCAAATTCACAGTACTACATTTTGGTATCCTCCACGGTGAGCTACGTTCAAAGCTTTTTCTACCCGACTCAAATGCATATTTTCTGCATAGGATCGAGCTGATAGACACTTTGGCAGGGTTCCATTCTAATAATCAATGTCCACCATTCAAATGCTGGTTAAAGGGTTGACTGAACCCATCATCTCTCAAGGGGCAAGAACATATGTGCCACGAATATCGATTGATATTAATGTCGTGACCTAGGCATCAACCAGATTTCCTGTTAAGGCCAGTTTTAAATTTTTGTTTTTGATTTTTTTTCTCTATAATGGTTTTGGACTCACAGTGCATGTTTGCTGAACTTATTTTGCACTGTACGTAGCTAACCGTGCTAATCAGAGGTGCGGGGGAAGGAAAACAAAATAAACACAATATATGTATGTTGAACTTCTTTCACACTAATCGGGAGATACAGATTGCATGGAGACACGTTTGACTTTTTACATTTTACAACAAATTTTCTTAACCAATGCCCATCACGCCCACATTCTGACACTCTTGCCACTACTCTTCCAACTGTGTTAATGCAACGGCTGATCAGCCCTGCCAAGCATTACGTGCACTAAGAAGTGGGCACGTACCATCTGTGTGCCAATGCTGAGAGCCAGCGCAGTGATGAGGCGTCGCTCCTTGGTGCCCGGGCCATTGAGGGCATTTTCTGCAAGGACGAGCGCCGACAGGACGTCTAGACGGCGCTCGCTGTACTTCTTGTCCGAGACAACGCGTTTCTACAGACGAGGGGGTGTCAATGCAGAGAGGTGCTTGCTGATCGTCTAATTTATCACTAATCCCGAGAGAGAGCAGTTAATGATAACGATAACGATGTTAAATTGAAAAGTGCATTACCGCAGTGAGCAGAGTGCATTGGTGCTTTTTTCACAAATTACTTATTTGGTAAATAGTCAAATCGAACATAACATGCACAATCCACGAATAATCATATTGCAAGGTTTTACTTCAGTGGTTAAATTGATTTCGATTTTAAGTATGTTCCTCAGTTTTGATTAACACTAAGGAACTTTCTGAACAGCTATGAGAATATGCTGCCATACATTCATAATGAGCACATTTTAAACATTAAAAAAACATTCAGTACATCAAGCTAACATGTCGGGGCCAACAGCCTTTCTCTGGAGCTGAGAAAAAGGCAACAAGTTACATTGTATTCACATCACTGCTAATTTAATGCCTGAATATTTCTATGCAGTCGCGCATTACGACGTACATGCGGTCTTTTGTAGTTGTCGTTAAGATGTACCTTAGCAGACGCAATGGCAGTGAGGGCTTGGTACTGCAAGTGTTGGGTTATATGCGACACGCACTCAGCCACCATCATTGTCCGCCGGTGAAAGGTGAATTCTATGGCCTGTAGAGGAACGATCAAACATTTATTTAAGAACAACTATGATTGCCCAGGGTAATAAAATAAGACATAAACAAGGGGTATGTTTCTCACCTAAAATATAAAATATAAACTATCGACCATACATTTAAAGGAGCATTTGCTCAATCAGGAAAACTCGACTGCTTCAGCATTCTGAATCTCTGTTCAATGTTACTGAGTAGCCCTGTTTCAATATTACCGATAAACCACAATCAATCAAGAAAGCACATGTTACCATTTGAATGCAGGATAAGCGATTGTTCAACATACATTATGTTAGGAGATTATCCAACGTAATTTATCATCCATAACAGTTTTTTTTCTTCGGTTAGATCACGTAAATATAAATGTGTCGTTAAACCCGCCACCACCCGACACAGCCAATTAGTAAGGTTTGTCACGTAAACAGAACGTGCCAATTCTTTACTCGTATGGCACACCGGTGTGTTGGAGAGTAAACCCACAACATTTACCATCTGAGTACGATGTTTTGCCAGTAATTACAACCGGCATCATCAGGTGGCAGCCAGATTTGTGGAGAAATACTCCTGCTTCGTTCCTTAAATCGAGGGATAGATGTGATGACGTAACTTGTGAGCCCTTCTAGTGTGAAGTGGTGGGGGGGGGGGGGGGGTAATGAAAACATTATATAGTTAGGGGTATGGGTTTTGACGTCTAAAGTATGATTTTGAAATATGGATTTAATGATATTCTTGCACATGGCAACATGTTCAGGAGATAAATGCCAACGTCGAGGTCTGTTAGCCACGAGAGGGCTTCGGGAGAGTTTGTGTAGTTTTGCCATGTGTAGAAGATGGTAGCCTTCTTGTGGTCCACTTGCTACACCTTTTCACGTTACCTTAAACACAACTAATATCGTCATCTAAGCAAAATGGACGTCATCAATTCGATTCTGGATATAATCAGTGAAGCATTAAATGCGAACAAAGCTTCAAGAATCAATAGACTCTGAAGTGTGAAGTCGGAAGGAAAAACGGGTTTGCGGTCTATGCTTTTCAAAATATTGATAACATTGAACAATCCGAGACTTTTCTTAATCTATAGGAAAGCAAGACCACTCTGCGGTTTGAAACTCAAGTGGCATAAGACCTTGGGTCAGGTCATTAAGTGAGCACACAAGTGGACATATGCATCACTAGTAAGTGACGTATTTGCAAAAATGCTGAATTTGTCTAGACCATTCTCCACCCACTTTCAGACACAAGTAAAAATGACCCCCATTTACTTCCAATGATAAGTATTTAAAACTATACTAAAACTTTTGAATTCTTAATTTTTTACCAGGTAAGTCCCACTCAGTTATGTAGCTCTTTTTCAGAAGCGACCTGGCCACAAATGATAGCTCAACGAAGTGGCTTACCGTACAGAAATTAATAGCAGCCACGTTTATAAATGGAGGGAAAAACCGGAGGACTCCGAGAAAAATCCACATGAACCAGGGAAGAGAAAACATGCAAACTCCAAATATACAGGCGTCAGGGTCGGAATCGAACCCATGACCTCCTATACACCAGGCGAAGTAGTTAACATCCTGCCACCATGGCACAACACACTTTCCCATAAATAGCCAGGAAGAAAATATTGTGACGGAAGAGGCATTTGCGCAGCATGGAAGAGGGCAGGTTACTAACGCAGCCACTGGAATGCCACCCGGTGTTTGGTCCCCACAGCAACGGCCTCCATGATGATGATAATGGGAGACTGGGACCAGATCTTGAAAGTCGACTATTGACTGTGCAATAGCTGGATGATCTTTCATTGGCAAGTGATAGTGAATTGAGGTGAGCATCAGTGGCATTGGCTGTGATGACATTTTAATTGATGCTGTCTCTAACCACTAGGGTTAATGAACAATACATTTTAGAATTATGTGAAGGTCTCTTAATTGCAATAAAATATGCAGGTGAATAAGATCGGGGTGATTTCAATTAAACACATGTTATGGAGGAAATGCATGAAAAGCAGAAAACAAAAACAGAACCAGGGCAACCGACGAAACTAAAGAGGGAAGGCCAGTTTAAAGAGATGGGTTTTCAAATCAGACTTATATATTTATTTACCGACTCTTGATTGCCTGATTTAAGTGGCAAGGCGTTCCATCATTTTGTGCGCCACAATCAATGTTTACAAGTACAACTTGATGCGTGTTTCACAAGCGTAGGAACCAATTATAATTGATCAAATCGCAGCAGCTTTTGGCCAACCATCGAACAAAGACGGTCATTGCATTGTGCGCTCTTACATGCGCTTCTGCGACCATGCGGAACGCTCTTCCCCCTGCAAGTCCGATTAGCACGGTTGGCTACGTATGATGTGAAAGACGTGTCAACATACATATATGATAGGTTTAGAATTTAAAAAAATCTCTTATGGAACTCTATCATCATAAATTTCGATTTAAAAACCCCCCCGCCCACCTCCTACGTATTTCCCAAGAATATGCTAAATTCCTCTTGATATGCACATTCTTTTTGTTAAGGCGCTCTTCCACCTCCAACCCAGCTTATATATAAGCTCCTAGCTTGGCAGTGTCTCATTCTTCACCTGAAGACGGCTGCTTGCGTTGTAGCCGAAATGTCGTGAGAATTATTTTATTTTATTATGTTTTATTTTTATTATTTTATTACTTCCCTTCTACGTGACTTTACCGAAAGAACCAAGAAGATATATCATCATAATAAACCATAATCTGTCCACTGCTAGATAATAGCCTGCATAAGTCAGACATTCCTCATTGTGCATCATCGCTCCATCTCCATGGGGCTTGTGCTCTCGGACACGTACTCTCGTGTGACTGCCACTCTCAAGGCTTCTTTAACCATCGGCCATTATCCCTTCCAGTGATGTGTCCTACCCAAGTACGCTCACTTAAACAATCAATGTTTCTAATTTGAATTTGATCTCTGATCCACTTGTTCCCCTTTCTATCTCTCAGCTATAATTGTAATCATACATCACTCCATACCTCGTTGTGCACTATTCAATTTATTTTAACGAACACATTTGTTGGAGGAAACAACTGGGAAAGACTAACGAGCATTTATACCTATGGCAATTATTGAAGTAAGACCAGAATCAACACGATAAAAATAAAGACATGAGTGACAGCGGGTCGAAGCGCTGTTATAAAACTGAAATTGGTATTGAAAAGTAACATATCAATGTACATACGAAATAATGTTTTTAAAGGTGCACATCATCTTCTCCAACATACGGATTAACAACATTTACACAGACAAAGAAAATGGAACAAAAAGCTACGTGTTTCATGACAGGGTCACACCTGCTGGCCTGAAGGTGTAATTACGGTTATAGCTGCATTACATAGTGCCTTATTAAGGGGCATATCTGGGGTAAAGGTGAAGGGCGGAATCAGTCGAGAAGCTCCGGGAACCATCCAGAAGGGTCTAGAAGGTTCTAGAAATGGGGCGTGGCCAGAGGTAGAGCTTGGCTCGCCAAGCAGATACAAGGCGCACCGAACCAAAGCTTCGGGGCTGTTAGCGTGGGGTCTGGATCCTGGTTGCATCGCTGCCGTCGTCATCTCTTCGTCTTCGACCACGTGGCTGTTCTTCTACAAGACCAGCTCCGTCGCCGCCGCTACGCTCATCAAACAGCCAGCGTAGCGCAGGACGGAAATGGGCTGCGTGTTTGGACAGCCTCGGTGTAGTTGCGTTACGAAGTGAATTGCCCTGTGTGCTCTTAATAAATAAGAAGCCTTCTACTAGACGTGTGTCGGAAGTCGCTCACTACGCATGTATGGATTGAACATAATCAATTCTTATACACAAGCATGATTCAATGCACTGAAATGCATGTTGAACTTCTTTCACACCGCACGTAGCAAACTGCACTAATCGGAGGTGCGAATAAACATTCTAAATTATGTTAATCTTTGAAGTGAAGTATGAATGTTTAAATCCCTGTCGGAGATTTTACAACATGTCAAATGCAGTCGGACATTGCTGAGACTGATGCTTCAATGGAAGCGACCTGAGCAGCGCAGGAGTCTCTCCCGTTAAGAGATCAGTGTCCACGTCACCTTCAGGAGCTCCACAAGCCGACACAGAGCCTTCACAGTGGTCTTCGTCATGGGCTTCTGCAGCGTGGCATGGAGATTCATGGTGGTTCGCACGATGTTGCTCAAGTTGAACGCATAGAGAATCCCCTGAGGAAGCACAAAACAACAGTTTTTCCCTCCACATTTATAAACACGCGTTTAGAGTATCTGGCTGCTATAAATTGCCGTACGATAAGCCACTTCGTTGAGCTATGATTTGTGGCTAGGTCGCTTGTGATAAAGAGCTATATAGCTCAGTGGATCTTACCTTGTAAAATAAAAAAAGTTTATTATAGTTTATAGACTCACTGTCAAGGCTGCTTAAGACATTGCAATGTGCGTAGACAATGTGCTTGCATCCTTATGAATTGTAGCTGAAGCAAAGACGCGAACACAAACTGTATCAGCATTTTCCACAAAGCTCTTCCACAATCATGAAATCATGATAGTTTGTGCAATCCATGGAGGCAATTTTATTCCGTAATCTGCCATTTCCAAGCCTTTGGGTAGATAAAAGTAATCCACAAAAAGTGGCAAATTCATCCCGTTATCTGTGCATCCGCACTTATTAATTCGTGCATAAATGTAGCCACCTAAACGTGTATGACCCGCAATCAGATGATTTAGTGAACACTGCAAAGTCACAGTATCGACTCAGCTCATCAGCCTTCCAGTGAGAATAAAATAAGCAACACTTATCCAATGAAGTGGCTTACCACAACAAGTGGAATTTCTACCACTATCTCAGAACTGTAAATTAAATTGAGCACTTCCCCACAGGCAGACACTTTCGAGACTATGACTTGATCCCATATGTTGTTGCTCCTGTTATACTGAATGGTTTGTTTTCACCTGGATGAAGAGAGAACAGCGGTTCGTCAGATCACTGGAGACTTGTCCTTTGCTCATGACCGATTCCATCTTTGTCATCCAGGCACTCACGATCAAGTAGTAGGACTGCACGTCTCTGTGAGACAGTGGACAACAGCAACAGAAATACACGTAAAAACATGCATGCTCACGAATATTATTCTTTAAATGAACCTAAAAAAATAAGCACTCATGCATATTAAGCCTGACAGTGTCAATTAGGATATGCTTGTATGTAGTATTTTAAGGAAGGAACTCGGCTACTTGTTGCTAAACCCAGGAATTATGTTTATATATCGATGTTGTCAGTTTTATTGTTTTTCAATTTATTTACACTCTCTCTGGCTGTACAGCACGGTGGTTAAAGCACGCAACCCATGACATTGCAATTTCCAAAAAAATATAATGGATTTTTTTTACACAGATGGAACAGATTCATTGCACTATATAATGAAAGAAACAAAATAAAAACCTGAAGAAGAGTAAGGCAACTAGATAGGCTCTTGCCTTAGTTGGTCACTGCGAAATTATGTTTCCAAATAAACATAAATTCAGAAAATTATAACCACCTCAGATTTGCGGATGACAGTCATTATAACAATGGAACGCGATTAATTAAAGAAAATTATTGAAGAACTTAGTAAAGGCTGCAAAATGTCTTCAATACTGTATATCATTTGTACAAGGATTATTATTCACTGCACAATACATTTGCAGTGACATCGCGAAATGTCACTGTGTAGTGCCGGCCCTGGAGAGGCACGGCGTGCGGTGTAGCGACATCACGGACACCACGATGGTGTGGGTGTAGTACCGGCCCGAGAGGGGCTCGGTCAGCACTGATTAATAGCGCTGGATGGCATCACGCTTGGCATGCAGTGCCAGCCCTACAGGATAGGGTGTGGGAGTGCCGGGGTTACTAAAGGCCATGGCACTCTGGTTGACCCGAGAGGATATGTGACCAGTGAAGTCTACAAAGGGGCCCCGAGTGGGGGGGCTAGGGGTGGTCACATGGTTGGGGTCCAGATCCTGCTCGAGGATTCTGGAAGGTGGGCGTGACCAAGGGCGGAGCCAGCCACGCCGCAGATAATATAAGCCAGGTCCCCCAAAGGGGCCGGAGTTGTTGTTGTTGATCCTGAAGAAACATCCGTCTACGTTCTACGAGTCTCCAACACGTGGACCTGGACCCGAGCTGTCGTCCGGTCTGTAGTAGCTCGTTACGTTGTAATTAGTGTAGTGAGCCTGGTGTTCACCACCATAGGTTGTTATTTTGTTAAGGGGCAGTTAACCCGTGTGTTAGTGTTAAATAAATGTGTTGCCTCCAAGAGTACGTCTGCGACTCAGTTGAACTCACTAGACATTTACCTTTTTTTTTTACTCATGTTACTAATATCTTTGCACAAACTATGGTAAGATATTAATCACATGTGATCCTCCTTAAAATTTGTTGTTACAATTTCAGCCACATAAAAACATTACATATACATTATTCCAATAATGCGTATACAGTCCAAGCACTCGTTTTACCAGGACTAAAAGACAAAACCCATTAAAAGCCCGCTTGCCCTAAAAAGCACCTGTACAAAATGTACAAAAGGTTAAATGGTGCAAAGTCAGACAAACCCGATCAATTCTAGCACTCACGAGGAATTCTGTACGACTGCAATGTCCTCGCTATTTTCACACTGGCATTGTTAATTTGATGTACGTAGGCAACAGATGCACCTCAAATGGAAGACTACAAGTGTTTTTCTTAAATTAGGCAATTGTAAGTCAATGCACATTCTGTGGACAAAGTGATAGCTGTGGTATATAACCCCTCCAACAAACTGACATTTTTACTCTATTTAAAATTTCATGCACCAACTCACACTGCTCCTGCAAATCGTCCAAGCGAAAAAGCGCTTTTGAAATGGTGGTAAATATAAAGGAAAGTGTATGGGGATCTTTTCAAAGTTTCCTTATGTTACTTTGGTATTTTTCTTTGTTGTACACACAAAGTGAATGTGTTCTCTGCATCAAATCAAGAGACGAGGAAATTTCCATTTGGAATATTCCTCACAAGCAGAACACTGCATTGTGTCAGGGAACCGCCACAGCAGGGGAAATCATCACAGAACAGCTGCAAAAGTAATTTCATGTTGTTTTTATATGCACTAGGGGAGAAATGTTTGCATTACCCTGCAAAAAAGCGTAGTTTGACATATACTTATAAAACATCCTTGGTATGTGGCGTTATCATATTGAATAAACCATGACAAAGGCCAGGCGATATTGAAAAGGGCAAAAAATAATGATTGAGAGGATAGACAGCAGTGATAAGTTTTTCAGCCAGGGCCAATAATCATGAGGAGTTAAAAAGATGCTCACTATCTGATACTGTTGAATATATGGATATATGCAAACAATTGTAAAGAGTTCATAATGAACGTTTTTGGGTTAGATCGCGTTATTTATAAATGTGTCGCATCATCGGGCAATTCTGGCGAATGGCAAATTGCCCGATGATGCTGGATGTAATTACCAGCGAAACGTGGTACTCAAAAATTGTAAATGTTGTGGATTTACTCTTCAACACACCGGTGGGCTAAAGTAGTGAACTATTTGTCTTTTGTGAACGTGACACTTTTTTGCTGATTGGCCGTGTCGGGTGGTGGAGGGTTACGACACATTTATAAATAACACGATTTAACCCAAAAACTTTATTATGAATAATATTGGTCGCGAAAGCCTACACGTGTTAAACTGAATTGTCAAGGGTATTTGAGGAGTTTGAGTTCGTGCCATAGGGTAAAGTCAATCAGGTTCATCATCGATGTTTGGGGTCACATCGTGTACATTTTTAAGAAATGTATTGTATACTGTCCTCCACTCGACAAAGCCAATTAATAACTTTGTCACGTGAACAATCGTGCCAATTTATTACCGCTTCAACACACTGACAAACAAACCTATTGCTGGTACAAAATAATAATTTCTGTCGTTGTGCAGAATATAAGTAACAAAATAAATAATCAGACAATATTCCTCCTCATATCTATGTTTGAGAGTAATCTCGCAACATTAAAATAGGTATGACGTTTCCATTCTATAGCATTACACAAACAATGCATTCTTAGACACTTTAAAGGCTAGATTTATGTACTTTTAGAGTGACGCACAAAAAGTAGGTTTATGTAATTCTGCGTGTTAACTTAGACATTTGTTCACAAGCCACACTCTGAAAACATGTACTAGCCGACTTAATTTAATCCTCTTACAGATGTAACTTAACAGAGCTCTCTACCCAGATGAAAGTTTTTCTGCCTCAACTACAAATGCATTACATTAATGATTTACAAGTGATTAAATACATCTTCTTGGTTCTTTCGGTAAAGTCACGTAGAAGGGACTGTCTTTCCGACAGACCTGTCGGAAAGACAGCATCTGACGCTGTCTTTCCGACAGACCTGTTCTTTACCTGAGTACGGCTGCTTGCATTGTGGCTGAAACGTCGTGAGAATTGTATTTTATTATGTTTTATTTTTATTATTTATTACTTCCCTTCTACGTGACTTTACCGAAAGAACCAAGAAGATGAATCCCTGCAGTCACGAAAGCTTTAAATCGAATTTTGATTAAATACAATCCAGTATTAATACAGCAACTTCAATGCTGCATTTCCTCAACTGTCAAAACAGCAGAGTATTAAGTAAGTAGATGCACAGAAATAACACATGTAAGTGTAATGAAAAAGGGAACAATTATAAATAAGTGTACAATAAATCAAACAGAAAAGCATATCTACATACATCTAAAGATACAAAGACAATTGCATACAGACAGTAACAGTTATGTATGTCATTCAAGATGACCATGACTTGTTATACGGATGATCCCGTTCAGCCAGTTGCCCGACTATTTTACGAGGGAGATCCGTGGCGCGTGAGCACAGCAGCAACAACACAAAAACGTGAACGTTGCAGAGAACGAGCGCAGGTTCTCCCTAAGGAATATTCAACAATGAACAACCAAGGTAATTGACGGTCAGAATCAAAAACAGTGCAAGTGTAGTATGAAAAAATTAGGTAAGCTCTATAGTTCAGTCTAACAAAACATGTCAAAAGGCAATGCAAGCATGTGGGAGCAAGAGGTGCCAGAACAGGTTAGGTACAGGTATGCTGTGCTTTGGTTTAATAGGGAAGCAAAGAGGGGGAGTTTAGGGAGGGCACCAAGCTGTAGTTGAGTAGAAACGTGGAGCAGCAATGCGAAATGACTTTTTATCAAACAAGTTTAAGCAAACAGGAATTTTAGTAGAAATACGGAAGCACTTCTGATGCTATGGGAAAGAGTTAGAAGAAACTAAGTAGACCGTTAGGTAATTGACCTATAAAGACGGCCAAGTGATGGTCTCTCCGGATGTGTAGCAGGGACAGATTTGAGTCAATGTACAGGTTGCAAAGATGAGCTCTACAGGGGGTGCCAAGGAAAAAATGGTGATCAGAGTGGTATAATGGAATGAGATGTTTTTCGGTAGATTTGTAATGCGGTTGTAAACGGCCCTTCTGAGGCGCCGTCAGGGGGGGAGGAGTTAGGTCACGTGGGGGGCAGAGGGGTTGAGTATAGAAGGAGGGGAACCGGAAGAGCAAGGGGAGTGACGGGGAACCAGGAACAGAGGAAGGCCACGAAGGGCGAAGCGGGGTGTGGCGAGATCGCCACGAACACGGGGGGAGCGAGGATCGGCACCGTTGGCCAGCGGTGACCGACCCGAAGCAGCGAGGAGGCTGCAGTCAGCAGCGGGGCTGCACAGAGAGGGTGGGCAGCGGGTCTGCATACAGTGACAGCCAGAGGGTCTGCACATAGGGGTAGCAGCGGGAGTCTGCATAGGGGTAGCAGCGAGTCTGCAGGGAGGAGGTTACAGTAGATGAAGCAGAGAGTCAGAGGGGAGAGGAAGCTATAATAGCAGTGAATAGCCGGGGGCTACAAATACAGGAGTTATAACAGAGTGCCGTGTGGGTAAAGACGTGAACCTGAATAAAGACACGAAGACAGAGCTTCGTGTCTTTTTGCGTGTTGGCCCTTTACACCCGCATTGCTTTTCAGGTTGCAATTCAGCCGAGGTCGGCTGGATTTTCTTTAGGGGGGAGGGTGATGTAATGCGGTTGTAAACGGCCCTTCTGAGGCGCCGTCAGGGGGGGAGGAGTTAGGTCACGTGGGGGGCAGAGGGGTTGAGTATAGAAGGAGGGGAACCGGAAGAGCAAGGGGAGTGACGGGGAACCAGGAACAGAGGAAGGCCACGAAGGGCGAAGCGGGGTGTGGCGAGATCGCCACGAACACGGGGGGAGCGAGGATCGGCACCGTTGGCCAGCGGTGACCGACCCGAAGCAGCGAGGAGGCTGCAGTCAGCAGCGGGGCTGCACAGAGAGGGTGGGCAGCGGGTCTGCATACAGTGACAGCCAGAGGGTCTGCACATAGGGGTAGCAGCGGGAGTCTGCATAGGGGTAGCAGCGAGTCTGCAGGGAGGAGGTTACAGTAGATGAAGCAGAGAGTCAGAGGGGAGAGGAAGCTATAATAGCAGTGAATAGCCGGGGGCTACAAATACAGGAGTTATAACAGAGTGCCGTGTGGGTAAAGACGTGAACCTGAATAAAGACACGAAGACAGAGAGAAGTGTTCGAGTCCTTTTATTACAGATTCATAAGCTTGGCGGTAGATGGTGTCACAATAATAAAATATGGGCAGAATGGTGGCTTTAACAATATTCAGACGAAGTTGAGATGGAATACAGAATTTATTTCTGTATAGGAATCCAATTTAGTTGTTTTAGCCATATGGTAAATGTGAGTCTGGAAATAGTTTTGATTCCAAAGTAATGCCTATGCATTGAAAGTTGTTAGCCTGCTCAAAACGATGCGAGTCCAGAGCCATACTATGCTTTTCAGGACAGGTTTTAGTTTATCCCACAGGCAAATTGTGGTGTTTTTGGTTACATATTTAAAGAGATACAGAACACATACTAAACTACAAAGAATCCTGCTATGTGGTATCAGAAGTCAAGATGAACCAGCTATAATAGCACCAACTTAATTGTGATTTTACAGTGTCAATAAGGGGGCACATAAGAAAACAGGTGGACAAATGTGTAGTTTAAACATGTGAAAACGCATTTCTTTAGAATTGCTTTTTTCACCTCTGATTAGCACAGTTGGAAACGTATGGTGTGAAAGAGGTTCAACATACATCGATACGTTTTGTACTCAATATAAGACATGCGCTCCATACACAACAGAGAATGCGAGGTGTTTAAGAGCCAATGGGTCCCAACAAGTTGCCAATGTCTGACTAAGATAGATGTATTATTCGTATGATTAAGTTTCATCACCCAGGACTCAAAGAGAATGATCAAGTGTTACATAGCCCGAGATTACTTGTGAACAAGCCTTCACATTTCACTGTCAATGTCAAGGTCATCACAGCATCATGTAAGACGGTCAAAACAAATAACATGGAACAAAAATAGGACAGTTCACAAAAAACACATGGAAAGATAGATAGTCTTAATTGCACTGAGAAAGTAGAACGTATGTATCAGATAACCATTGCAAATTAGACATCATAATGGCTGTTAGAAAAAAAGAGTTTGGGCAGGACACACTGCTAGAAAGGACATCAGATGGATGAAACTGCCTACAGAATGGTAGCCAAAGATGGCAACAAGGCCAAGAGGAAAACTACCGCAGAGATGGGGTGATGAGATTAGGTCATGTGAAGGGTGAGATAGACTTTTCCATCATAGAGGGATGGCATCATCACTGGGAGGCTTTCATCCAGCAGCATATGACTGGTGTGATGATTAATGCAAGTGTTTACTGAGTTTCCATAAAGTAGAAGAAATAACTCAACTTATCTATCTTTTTTATATATAAAAGTAAAAAATTGTCTGTTTGTGGGTTTGTGTCTGTTCGCGCGCTTGCGAACGATTTGCCTCTCCAACGGTGAGGTTTATGTTACAAAAAAAAGCCAGGTACCAAGTCATAAGCCCCGCGGCGAGTAAGCACTATTCCTTTTTCACATCTGTCAACTTTCAATTTGTTTAATTAGCGATTTAGTGCGATTTTTGTGCGCTATATATTTATTTATGACGCGTGCATGACCATACCAACTCACTCGCCTTTGGTGGGGGGGACGGCCCATGCCAAGTCGCACGCTTTCGGTGGGAGTGAAGGGGACATTTTCCTTCGCGTTAAAAATGCTATAAAAATACACTAAACGCTCAGGTAAATTATTCACTGTGTGATGCCCCCCCCACCCCGATGCGTGCAGTTATTACTACTACACAGTCGCTAGATGCTACCACTATAGGCCGTAGATATTACTGCAGAGCGGCAAGGGAGATCGTGGCTGGGGGGGGGATGGTCAGGGGTAGCAGCCCAGCCCCAGCCTGCCAAGGTGCCACCTCGGTCAGGGGGACAATCTAGGCGGGGCCGGAGGCTCTGCACGGGACTAGGCCTCACCACGCCACTCTGTCAGGTGAGTACTTTGTGCTATAGAGTCGATAAATACTGCTATAGAGTCAGCATGTACTACTGTAGTGATAGCAGGTACCACCAGTCGGTATGCACTGCTGTAATCATAACAGGTACCACCACAGTCAGTATGCACTCTGTAATCATAGCAGGTACCACCACAGTCGGTATGCACTGCTGTAATCATAGCAGCTACCACCAAAGTATGCACTGCTGCAGTGAAAGCAGGTACCACCACAGTATGCACTACTGTTCTCATAGCAGGTACCACCACAGTATGCACTGCTGTTAGATTTTTAAGAGTACTTTTAAATCTTTTTAAGACCCGGGCAACGCCGGGTACCTCCCGCTAGTTAAAATAAAAAATGTCCGATTTGTAAAGTTAACTTTTCATTTTTCAATACAGAATTTCTTCTCGTTAAGAACCAACCCTAAACTTAATTGGTGTGTGCTGATTAAGGTATGGTTTTTGCAATACCTTCCTTGATTTGAGCTAACTTTTCACTGGATAAAATTTGTCAAGTGCAGCTTGTTCCACATTTATTCTCATTCTCCGCATTCCAAATGTATTTACTACAAAATATTCAAAGGAAAAATTGTGATGTTCTTATCGTGTAGGATTCGTGTTCTGGAAGGTCATATACCAGCTTTGTAGTCATCCTATTGATATAAGCAAACATCTGTCAATGAAATATACATCACGAAATAATGTTTTACAAATTAATGCATTAAATACAAGGTGGCAGAAATCAGCAGTCGAGACGGCAGTGGGTTGCGTACTTGGGCAGAGTCTGAGCCTTCTGCTGCAGGTGTGCATCTCTCTGCACTGGCACCGCCTGCAGAGTCTTTTTCTCCACCAACTGCTTGTCAGCCGGTTGTACGCGCAGAAGCAGAAATTTGTCCGCAAACCACACCACGTTTGCCACCAACGTCACTGCTGGCATCTGCAGGAGACAAGGATTGTTTAAAAATCCCGCTGTTTAGCCAAATAGACCAGAAGGACAAGTGCTGTTTGCTAATATTTACTACTTAGGCCCATAAGGTTTAATAACCAGCAGCATACATTGACCCCTATTTCTCATGAGCATTGATGTTTATACACCACACCAGGTATTTATTTAAGGCTGAGTCAATCTAGATGTTGGAGTGAGATCACTAAATTGCTACTTAAAAACAGTGTCATCATCAGGAATGCTTGTTCAGTGTGCTCACATGGCTTTTAGCCTGCTTGGTCACCAGGCCATCTCCATCAATTTAGCACACTTAAAATCCTGTTTTGTGCTCAGGAAGCTGTCAGGCTCATTGCTCTTACATCCCCTTACATGTATCTATTGTTAAACACGGTCTAAGCAGATGGTAGGGGGTGGAGGGAGAGCAGGTCAAATACAAGCGCCAGACTACTCAGCCAGTCTTATGTTTACGTTGTGTTATCAGAATGGGTAATGCAATACATTGGGCCCACTTGTGCAACAGTCACTAAATATAGAATAAAGATATACAATTAATATACAGATGAACATCGCACATGTGTAAAGGAGTTCCAGTCAGGTTAGTCTCGTAACACTCGTTCTTTATTACTCTTCAACGCGTATAACCCGCAGTACGTACCAACCTCCATGGATTTACTGTTGAGGTGCCACAAACTCCCCTTACCAGCTCCTTTGATCCTCTGCTCCTCCATTATCAACTTTGTCTGTCTTTCCACTAAACCCCTTAATTTCCCCAAACAGTCCTCCAATCAACCCCATGTTCACACTTCACTTTTCCTGGGCTTTTCCAAATGAATCTCTGCGCCAATCCGATCTGAGTGTTTCACTACCGTCCAATCAAATTGTGTGCTCAATTCGTCAGCTCTCCATGTGACAGGTCGCCAATAGGAATTAAGCAACTTATTTCAACTCAAGTCATTAGACCCAGGTGTGCATCAATTGTTTATATATTTGCTTAACAGGATGAAACAAGAACAGGCCCTTTCCGTAAATATATTGCCAGTAAGAGTAAAGTCTATACTTCCGGAAAGGTTAAACTCTTTTATTTTTTCATAATTTTGATACCGGCAAAAAGGGTCCCATCGTTACTTAATAAGGTATGCCTCTCAGCATCCCTTACACATGTATGAACAAAATGCACCATTGGTGTACTGTTTATGCTACCTTCTTGTACACATCCAGCAGGGACCGGAAGAACTTCTTGTCCACAGTCCTGAAGATCTGGAAGTTGAGGACAAACAGGCAGCAGGTGCCGACGTACCTCTCCCTCGGATCGATCTCATTGGGCTCACCTGCACCGCATGACAACACAACAACACGTAGTCTATTTGTAACTATAGATGCATTGCATACTCAGAAGCCAATGCACTGAGACAACAAATTTGGCAGAATGAAGTCCAAGCCCTGGGTCACCAGCAGAGTTGAAGTGTGTGTTATAGAGGTGGCCAGGAAGCATAGGCCCCTCATGCTGGAACACTAAGCTACAAATAAGATCCTGGCTTTGAATCTCACCAGCCATCCAGTACTCAATAACTTGCCATCCTGAAAAATGTGTTATGGTCTCGGCAGTCATTGATGTCTAACAAAACAATGCTTTCCATTTGGACTTAAAGGAAGATGTCACCCCCAACATAGCTGCTCGTGATGATACATACCTAGCCTGCATTTCTGGACTACCTGACACGAGTTGACAACTCTGTCAATGCGAACGAAGACTATCAAGTGAAGCTCAAGCATTTCATTATAATACGACAGCGATGCTCACCATGGTGACAACAGTACAGTGTTTAAGTCAATGACGACGTTAGAGTGTGCTTTTATGGCAAACTTGGCTGTAAATTGAAAGTCTTCTGCAGTGTTTGAAACAGACAACCTTGAACTCACTATGTAGAAATCTACAAAATAAGAGCTATTTGTTTCTTGCTTTGCAGCTTCTTTTAATTTGGCTGAGCTCAAATTTTTTAAGTTATTTGACATAAGAGTCACACAGTGAACTGCTCACAGATATGCACAGCCAAACAGTACAAAGCAAGCTGGTTGGAACAAGCCCTTTTAGAACATTGAGCAATGTTCTAGGACACATCCACAGGCCACTGCTTGCAAAAGTAAGTAAAGTAATTATCAGAAGATGCCCTTTTATGTATAGTCACTATAGCCACAATATGGGTGTGATCTGTGAAACAGAATATGGTTTACCAAGCTTCGACTCCAATGCGGCGAACATGTTCCGAATGTTCTGGGTGAATTCCTCAGCGAAGGCACTGTTTTTTGAGACAAGAACTGTCCCGTTGTCAAACGGCTGCTCGATGCAGTTCTGAAAAGAAAATACCACCACTTGTTACGTCATTTCATTTAAAAACAATACCTTCTGCACATTGTCAGTGTATCATGTCTAAAGTCAGCATGCCTATCTTTAAGCAGGACTCGCATAATAATGCACTATTACTGGTTCCTTAGTACACAGTCCTGAGGTTTTGGACCTGCTGTTAAGGAATCCCTAGACTGTTAATATGCATTATTAAAGAGTTCACAAAAGGAAACAGGATTCACATGGATAAGTGCCTCTGGGACCATACCAGTACCCATCCACTACCCATCATCCTGCCTTGCTGCTATTAAAGGGATTGGAAAAATATTTTGTAGCAACTGTAAATGATCCTCAGATCAAAGTTTTTGGGAACGACTGATTTAAATCAAACATGAGAGATGTAAAGAGTATGCATTTTATTATGTTTGAGATGCGATTATGATAAAGAAAACTATTGAAAAGGTCTCCTTAAAACAGACATTTTTAATCTCAATGGGAACATCACCTGGTGCTAATTAAAATCGGAAAATGTATAATCACAAGCAACTTCATGATCCTTAATTGTAAGCACACAATGAAAACACAAGTTCCATTTAAACGCACCGAATAAACTTGGTGGACAATCAAATGCTTCATCTGCTGTTATGGCCCTTGTTAAATGTATGCTTCAGGGTCTTCAATTTCTACTTTAAAGTGTTTCCAAAAGCACTGTTGTCATGGGCAGCTATGATACTGTCACACCCATGCAGACTAACACAGTAGCATGTGTACAGACCAACAGACTATCAATTATCACTGTATAAAGCTGCTCAGATGGCCTGTATTCTGGTTACACACATGCCGTAATGGTTGAAGGCATGCCCAGCAGATGCAGAAGAATTATTGACGTCAATTGAACCATGAAGGGGGATTTAGCCAGGCAATAGATCTGAATGACCTTCAGTAGGATTTCAGCAAATAGACTCAAAACAGCTATTTTAATCAGCAGCATAGTTGGCAAGGGCACATTTTTAAATGTCATTATTTTAACAAATCAGGACAGGGGAATTATGGCAAAGTGCTTGCCTCACAATGGGTTGTGAGTTCAAAGTCATGTCAGGGATTGATTCAGTTGACCATCCCACCGTGGTTGATAAAATGGGTACCACTCTGTAAAAAGTGAACTGTGGTGAGAGAGCCCTCCCCATAGGAAAGTTGAATTGTCACCACTTCGTTATGGTAATTTGAGCATGATGCACTTTCACACCGAACTACGAACAACTCAACCTTAAAATAGAAGTGCACCTCTGCACAGCAATTATGAATTGCATTCCTGAGGCAATGATGACCCCTACTGAGCTTTATACATCACTACCGATAGCCATTCAGTGCCAAGCAATTCTTTACGATATAAAAAAACTAATGATGGGTGTCCCTCCACAGCATGAAATACATGATGATCAGAGGTAATATGAAACGTCAGTCTCTGTCTGCCGGCTCGAATTAGTAAAGAGGTGTGATCATCGCTGTGGACAGCCCTGAGCCTAGAATGAAAAATGAGAAATTATCATGGGTACATAAATTATAAGTGAGTCTCTACATAGCACGACCATCGATGACTTGCTACGAAAGGCTACTTAATTTAATCGACCATAGACAAAGTAAAGCACTGGCTCGGATGTGAATGAGCAACCTTCAACTGTAAGTCAATTTCTCCAACCACAGTACCCACTGGTCGGATATATAATATAATGCATTTAGTATATTCTTTACAACGACTTGGGGCAAACCAGCCTTTTATTTAATAAGTGATATCTTCTGACGACAGCCAAGTAATCAAGGTCATCATCAGTTACCAATTTCCCCACCGTTGTGATATGACAAAGAGGGGATATTACAGATGAATGATGACAGAGCTCCTGACGGTTGTTAAAACATGTCACGTGTTAATAACTAGGTGTGCCCCAGGTTAATGCCATGATTATCCATATTTGCAGCTGCACAATTTGTATTCCTATACAATGTGGTTATGTATGTGTTCCTTATAGTAACGATGGCTTCAGTCCATCAAAATGTCCCTAAACTCATGCTGCCACTCAACAGTGTTTGTTGTTAGACATCCTACACTTGAGCACCACATCAATGGTCCTAAGAATGACTCTGTATCCTCAAAGTTTCACCCAGGTGTTCCACCCTGCTACCATTTAGCTTAAATCTCATGACCTGGAAGAGTGCACGTTTGCTGGTCGCGGATAGTGCAGCAGAGAGGGGCACATGGGCACCTGCAGGATCAGGCCGTCCAGGAGCTGTGCCTCCAACTTCATGAGCAGCTTCTCCAGCGGCCGCAGTTTGTCCACCTGCACCTCAAAGCGGCTGGAGTTGTGATGCACGGACTTGAGCAGCCTGCACAACGCAGCCCACAAGAGGCCGGAGTGATAGACATGAAACACTTTATGTAATACATTTGTTATTCGCGCCATCTTAGGACACAAGGCTATCACAAAGGCAGTACGTTTCATGGATGGATATAGAATTCTAGTAGAAGGCGTTGTTGCTGTGCGGTTTTACCTAAATAAATCATTTGAAGATTTATTTTATATTTGCAAAGCATGGTCCATAATGCCGGCACACATGGTCTACCCACTTCGACAAATGTCAAGGCACTGTGAAGTAGTCGGCACATAGGTTTATGGTTTTTAGACCAATAGTATTAACTAGGGTGGCCACTGGGCTTAAACCATGAGCCTCTGAAACAAGTGGTGAGCGTTCTACCGCTTGGCTATGGCACTGAGCAGAATGTAAAAAAGCTCCCTTGCAGGCCTAGCACACATCATCACTGTCATCAACATTGGCTGCTTTATAACCGATAGCTATGCAGTTTTCAATTTTTCAAGGATTGAGTACGTTTTTTTAAAAGCTCCACTTTTGGAGCTTTGAACACAGGTTGCGCAAAAGGAAGTGTAAAAGCTTCAGGATCTGTGTTGGCAGTGCTATAGAAGCAAATGCTAAACATATTTTAACACTTAGTTATTCTCAAACAACACTGGAGATAAAATATATACGAAAGCTAAAATTTTACCTAATGGCCCTTCTTTAGTGTAATAATCTTTGAAAGCTCTGAAGAAGTACCGTTGCTCAAACGTTTCTAAATACACGTGTAGTGACTAACTTGGAGACGATAAGACTTGGAGGCACTTCTTTATGAACAAGTACCATCGGGGTTAACACTCTTAATAATTAATGAGTCCATCTATTGTCGACGACGCTACTCATCCAGGACAGTTGGTAGGCTGCCTGACTGGTGGCGCCCCGAGATTGTGAAGACGAAGACGATGACATGAAGGATGGTGAAGACGACGAGAAGAACGGTAACAAAGACTTCAGCAGCACGACGGAAATCCCACTCCAACAACAGCCCCGAGGTCCCCTACAGGAGCCCTTCTTATACTGTCAGCGAGACCTCGCTCCGCTCCCGATCACACCTCTTTCTGAAACCTACGAGTGGGTTCTTGGTGTGCCCCTTCTGTGACCTTTCCCCTAAATCCCCCTCTGGTGTATATCCTGGCCTGCTGACGTCAGGGCTGCCGTACGCCGCAGATCCCCTTCCCTGCCAGCAGCCAGCGCTATGCTACTACACTATGCCACTACACATGTGTAGTGATGTTAAATAGATTACTACGGCGCGTAGCGCTAAGTGCTGTAGAACAAGGAAATATGGGTGCAGAGGCTAGCACACTGTGCAGTACCATACAGTGGGTCACTGGGGGCATGGTACCAGGTGCTAGCAGAGAGAGGCAAATGGGTCCTATCGACAGAGTAGGGGATTGCAGCCAATCCACCAGCGCAGCAAGTAATTGCCATATAAGTGTTCACTGGGGAGCGTGGTGCGGGCTGCTGGCAGAAGGGGGCATATGAGGACGAGTCACCCCGGCATTGGGTGAAGCACGTGATGGGCCGGGGTGAGGAATGTGGGGGAAAGTGACTGAGGGGACACGGGGAGTGTAGCCAGGAATCGTCTAGAGTTCCCGAAGGGGGCGTGGATAAGAGCGAAGCCAGGCAGGTGGGAGGTGCAAGGTCGTCTGGAATCTTCGGGGATGTTCCAGAGGTAAGCGTGGCCGAGGGTGGAGCCAGGCCGCGCCGAGAGGGATAAAAGGGAAGCCCCGATCGCATATCGGGGCTGTCTGCAGGTGAAGTGGAACCCAAGTGCTACACCTTCGTCTCCGGCGTCGTGGGTCAGACAGCACGTTGGCGGTTCTGACCCGGTTATAGTTACCCCGTGTGCGCAAGAGATAGGCGTGTTATAGTTCCGTGTGTAACGAGTGTAAGAGTTAGGTGAATGGTAGTCCCGTGTGTAACGGTGTTATGTAGTGTAGAATAAACGTTGTTGCCTCCTAAATAGTGTCTCCGAAGTGACTCACTACAATCTAGATTTGAAGTTTTCGTGACTGCAGGGATCCATACTCTTTGGTTCTTTCGGTAAAGTCACGTAGGTATAAAATAAAATAAATTAAATCACGAGGTTTCAGGCGCAACACAAGCGTCTGTCATCAGGTGGGACAACCACAGCAAGAAACAATTGCTGAAGTGGGCCACTACACATGTGTAAAGTTAAAGGAAGTACTGATAATAATGTTGATAAGTCAACAAAAATATATCCATACCATTAAAATATAAAACAATACACACTATATAAGCCTCACCAAAATAATAAAATACGTATTAGTGCTACCACGAGTGCAGTTTACAGCAGGGACAAAAGCATTCAAAACCCACTAGTCACGCTGCACCCAACAATCGCCACTCAACGAATAAACAATCTTTTTTATAATTCAGAGTGCATTTCCTCCATAGTGGTTAATTCTGATACAATTCTAAATGAACAGTAACAAAGGTAAACAGACAATTGCTACCCTGTAATGATTTCCTCATGTCACAGCTGACGAAAGGGCATCCACTAGAAGGAGCTCTAGAGAGCCCCTCGAGATGGTATTTTGGCCAACTCTTCCACAAAACCCAAATTCCCATCACTGCCAAACTTACAACAAAAAATACCAAAACCGATGGGTAGGTTTGTTTAGATTGTGGGCAAGTGTGGCCAAGAAATACCTCCAAATGGATTATTTTTTCTAAGACAATTTAGACTGTGCTGTGTACCCGCACAGTTTTCCCACATGCATTGGAACACCTTGCGTGTTTTTAAGCTTGTGTGGGATTGCATGTTGCAGTGTGGTCCAATCAAATTTCAGTCAAATCCCCTAAAAAATGATCGGCTCCCTTAACGGACTGACCTGGCAGCTGGTTTCTATTTGATTTACACTTAAATAAGTGCACCAAAGTGAAAATGCCATCTGTGCAAATGACAGCATTCATTACCTTTTGTACATCGTCCAGTGATCCTTCAAGGTTGACTGATTTTCAATTATTTCATCCAATGTGACCAGCACCATCAGGAGATCCCCAAGGTGTTCATACACAGTCTGCAGCAAACGACAGGCGCCTCGGTTGAAGCAGTGATTTAAATCTATTGTAATAATAACACTACGACACTATGTGTTATGCATTGCCTATACGTTGCAACTGGGTGCAAGTTCATTCAAGCCATATAAATCATATTCCTGCTCTGTCCGGTTCATTAACTCTAGCCTCAATATGCACTGAAAAAATAAGTTGCTTGCATTATTTGTGCTATCTTCGAGTTTAAGCTAATTTGTATAGCCTCATAACCTCACACATAGTTTTGCTCTGGAAATAACATTCCTAACACATATTTTAAAAACATTTCACATCTCCACCAACAAGTTCAATTCCACTATTACTCGTAAAAAGTTCATGAAAGCAAATCGATATGAACACTGCCCAAAGCTGCTCCAAGCTCATTTGATATTGAGGCAGTTTACGTGACTTGATATCGAGTGCTAATTCCATACCAGGTTTTATTTACACATTATAAAACTATTTTTTTTCTGCTGATTTGATTAATGCTGTTAAATTACTAATCGTGCATTTTAACCCAAAAAAAACTCTTATGAATACTTATCATGCCTCAAAGTTTTGCTTAGATTTAAAGCTTTTATACATGTATACAAAACATGGTCGTCGATGGAAAATATAGAACAAAAACTGAAAAGTGTACAAATAAGAATGTGGAGATGCATGTTTGCAATAACACGAGACAGAAGAAGAACACATGGGAAAAAGGGAACAAAACACAGGTTAATGACATCGTTCCTCAAGCATGGCGAGTTTAGGGTCTTAAACCCAGTCACCAATGACTGACCCCTAAAAAATAAAAAATTTGGTTTGTGATTGCAATTCTGTTAAGAAAACATTATTTGACATATACCATATGGAATTACATTGAGAGACAGTAAGAGAATACGTGGCTTAGAAAACATATGCAGGGTAAAATTCAAATGGTTAAGAAAAGTAGGCTTATAAAGGGCAGGTTTGCGAAAAGGGATGATGGCTGATGGTTAAGAATTATTATGTAGCAGCCAAAGAATGGAGCACATGCTATAAGACATCCAGAGGTGGTGGAACGATGAAATTGGAAATGAAGAAGCTATATGGATTGTTATATCCCAGAAACATGACAGGTGACAGCTGCTTGGGAAGACCTTCATCCTGACCATGGCTGATGATGATGAAGCATGTATAAACTCTCAGATGCATTTCTATTTTAAATTATAACCCAGGCCATTTGCCATGATTATGTACATTTAAACAGTTTGTTGACTGCATCTCACAATAATGAGTATTCTCTGATGCATGTCAGGAACAATACTAAATGAACTCGTCACCTGCTACATTGCAAACATGAAAATATAATTTAGCACTTTGAATAATATTTTGTACTGTTGACCTGACCAAATTTGCCATGCACTAAATTTAGCCAAGATAAAGACCTGAATGTCTAAACACAAATCAAAAGCTGTGTTCAAAAATACAATTTTAATAAAGAGAAAACTAATACCTGGAAGTGTACTGATGATACGTTGATTATTTTCGGTGCGGTTCTGAAAAGCATACAAAGCAACATTAAAAACTTCACCATTTAGTGCTCATCACTGACATTCGTGTTGTTCTGTGTTTTTACGCTGTTAAATACTCAGATCAACTTAACTGAAATAGTTTTTGTTGCAATCATTCCAGGAACATCATTTACAGGCAGACACAAATGGCCAGGTGGCACTTTGTCAGTATTCTCAACTTGTAAAGTTGCTCATTCAAATTCCAGTGAGGAATTGATTCAGCCCATCATCCCACTGGGGTTGATCAAATGTACACCACAATGACCATTTCATGAGCAGTTATCGGGAATTGCCCTTCGGTGAGGGAGAGACTGGTCACTTCCACTGGAATATGGAATATAAACCAAGGGCTCAGGACTGCCAAAATAGATGTGGCATGTCACATTCTTGTTTGAGCATTGAGGTATGTATTTTAGCACATGATGCACATGAATACACTATCAAGACTATTTTTCTTCAAATCAAATACAATTTAATATCAAGCACAGATGCCAAGAGTTGTCCAGTAAAGCATGTCCAATTGGTTAGGACAGCCTGAGTGATGTGGAAAATGGTGCATAATTGGCTTGGTGCCTCCTCTGATAACAGCGTGTCAAATATAGGGCTACACTGAAAAAAACACCCTCTTACTTGCTGTAGGAGTACAACGATGCCATCTGGTGCACGACGTTCATAACCACCTCGTAGCAGCGATTCACAAAGCAGGACAGCTCCTGTGAATAAATGCATGTGAGTGTAGCAATGCTATGTATGTAAGTTGAATTTCTTTTGCACAGTACGTAGCCAACCGTGCTAATCGGAGGTGCACAATTGGCTGGGTCTCTCCTTACAGTGTGTCAAATATAGGGCTACAATAAAAGATACATCCATAAATGTGTTCACATTTCATGCCGTTAACAGATTTCATAACGCACAGCTGAAAATAATATCTTGTATATTAGACAGTGGCTTTAAATATAATATCAACTTATCATGTGCAAAGTATTCGCTCTCAAAAATCAAGAGGCACGAGGAACCATAGACAAACGGGAAAGCAGCCACACAGTGAGCCGGTGCCAAATATTCCCCAATCTCTGTGGCTCTCTATATATCAAGGTGTTATCAGCCATTAAAGAGTGTTTACATGTGGGAGGAAACCGTAGCACCCAGCGAAAACTCATGCACACTTGGAGAAACACTATCCCATTCAAATGGCAAAGGTGGAGTCCACATTATCGCTGTACTGCATTCTCCTGGCAAGCCACGGTACAGCACCATGACACCCACAGGAAAGAAGTTGTACAACATTTTTGTGATTCACCAACTCTCGCTGGATTACAGGAGCGCCACCGCAGCCCGGCTTAAAGATACATAAACATGGAAACAAAACAGATGGTAAAATCAAAAGACCTTAAGTGGAATGTCTGCATACACTCACAATGAATGTAAATTAGCTGTCTGAGCAGCAGCATTCCTCATCTTGAGGACAAATATTAAAGTCTGGCTCGTGTATACATTGTAATAAACTTTCCGCACGTAGGTAAAAAGAAAACCTACTGGTTTTAGGGAAAAAATTGGCAGGTTTTGAATTATTTACATATTGCTCTCACCACGGGAACATGGAATGTACAACACTGGCTTATAAATGCCAATTGAGGCGAGTGACTGCCTTTTTTGCACCGATAAGTTAAAGTCAAACATAAAAGCGATTTCCTTCTGAAATGAGCATTGGGGCGGTGCTCATCTATTGTTGACAGCCCCGAGCCAGTGGTGAAAATTCCGCATTCATATGACAGAAGCGAGGATTACCCGCAGGATAACCGGTGTTCACTTTTCGCGTAGTTATACTCATGTTATCGACTGCAGAGAAATGATAGGCTGAGTCAACCCCTGATTTAAACTTGCAAACTTTCGATTGCGAGCTGCTCGCTCTGCCCCTGTGCTCCTGAGAAGTAATGATTGATCAAGTTCCCTTCAAATGGCTGGTATGTCAGCAAGCTCCACCTAAGAGCCAACAACTCCAATTTCACCTTCCACGAACAGTAAACATAAAGAGAATGTACAGTAAGGAAGGTTAGCATTCTTTGATGAAAAATAGCTGCTTGTGATGACATATATGAAATAGATATTTATAGTTTTTAAACGAGAAAATGTACAAAAGTACTGGATTTAGATGCACACAGGTCTATATTACATTGATTTACTAGATTGTGTGGTCAATTCAGTTTATACAGGTAGTCCTCTACTTACGATGGAGATGCGTTACGACGACCCCATCGTAAGTCAAAAATATCTTAAGTCGAAGATGGCCTAGCCTACCCAGGAGTCTTAAAGAATGGTGATAATTTAGCAAAACAGAGCAATTTACAGTACCGTACTGTATAAACTATATACTGTATGTATTTATTAATTACAATGTAAAGTAAAAAAACAAGGTAAATTCTCAGCCTGCCACTGCGTTTGCCTGCCGCGCGAAATTTAAAATATTTTACAATTTTGTCGTATCGCTATCGCCATCGTAAGATTGAAATATCGTAAGTCGGACCATCATAACTCGGGGACTATCTGTACCTGTAGAGTTGTAGGAAATCGACAATGGTTGTCTGTGCTGAGAATTTTCAGCACAGACTTGGGGCTGCTAACAGAGAAGAGATTAGCTTTTCTCATTAGAGCACAGACACTGATATTTCATTTGTTAAGTATAAGACAAGAAGGTACACATATCATTTGTTGGAAATTCTGGCAGGATAATTAAATACTGAACTTCCCCAAGTACGTACTCTGACTGCACTGTTCTGCATAGACTATCTCAGAGCTGAATTTTAAATTAGATTTTGAAAGAGCTGCATGGAAGTAGCTACGATGAATCGTTCTGTGCGCCGTACTCGTCACACTTAATACAAGTGGACGTATCTCGCCAGTCAAAGTGAAGTTTCATTAATGGAAAAATATGTATGCAAATGAGCTTCACCTGCAGGAAAGCTATCATTCGTCCCATTTGGATTTGTGCCTCTCCTTCTTCCATGCCACCCTCGGGGCCTTGATAAAAACACAACCGCACACTGTTTGTAAGACATTGCATTCTTGTGCACATTTGTATGCAACTGTCATTATGATCATGATAATGTCCACCTTCCCATGTATTAACGACGAAGATCTCAGTGGGAATAACTGGTATGGTGTGGACATTAGCCCATAAAGTGTAGTTTTGGAGTAAAAAAACGACATACAGCACAAATTAACTTTAATTTATTTTGACTTCTATACATCACAGCTATAAACATTATGGGACGTCAAATGAACGTGTGAGATTTATACAGTTTTATTTAAAGTATGCTACATAGAATTTAAAAAAACACTTACAACCCTCTCCATAGAACAGAAGTCCATTGTAGAATGTTGTTTCTGCCTATGGACAAGGATATAGGACAATGAGGTTATGAAATATGAAATGTTTTGCAACCCATTTAATAAAGATCAACCACACACTGTAGAATTCAAAAGCAGCAATTATGTCTCAAAGAAAAGTATAAACTGTATTTAAATGCTCAAACCCAGTATTACATAATTTTTCAGTTACAAATAATTGTTACTTTCATTTTATAATTAGCAGTGTTTTTTTCCCTTAAAAAACATTACATTCTGATGATCCAATAAACATAATAATAAAAACACTAAACCAACCTTTACGGCAATCAACACTAATTATACCACAAAGCCTGGATAATTTAGGTATACTGCTTTTGACAAGCAACTTTATTATCAAAATAATTAGTCATGTTCTTAACACTGCTGGATGAAGGTCCCACACCATGATCTCGTCGTTCCCCACTAGCCTGCGATACCACAATCTCACTGCTAAACATGAACTCTACTCATCGATCCATCTCTTCAGTATGAAACAAATTATTTCAGAATCAGAATATTTATTTCTACTGGAGGAATCCGATGAGCTGTAAAGCTCTTTTTCACAGATGTCCAGAATTGCATAATTTTTAAGTTACAAATAATTGTTACTTTTCATTTTATAATTATAATTAACGTTACAACAAACAACAATACAAAAACACGAGAGGAGTGGAACGTATAGGAAAGGTAAAGAAATCAATTAAAACATATACATACAAATACAACTAAACTATATATTTTTTTATCTTAGCAGGTAACTTATTTTATTTGGTGGTGCGCTGGCAGTGGTGCACAAACAATAATAACAAAAAAACTCGCATTTCTCAATAACACTGCCTTAAAAGGAAAGCTATATATGTGATGTTTGAGGCAATGGACCTTCTTTGATGTACTTTGAAGAAGGGAAATATCCCACGTCATCTATGCATTGATTATCCTCTTAGGCATGTTCTCAAATTACGCTGCCATTCCATGACCAGTCTCGTCCATCTGATATCGGCCTTTCTAACAATGTGGCCTGTCAAAATTCACTTACATTTTTTTCTTAATAGCCAATATTATGGCTTTCATTTGCACTTGTTCTATAATCCATCTGTATCTCATTATGTCTCTCAATTGAACTCACAGTATGCAGTTCCCAATTATACTTGTATATTTTTCAGCTTTTATTCCATGTTATTTGAGATGTACACACCCATTCGCCTCTAATTACATGTAGATTGCAAAATATTATTTTAAATTTATCATCAGAGAACTGAAGAATTATGAATTTAGAGTTCAAAGTTCATAGTTCATTTATTAGGTATAGCCCTGTGAGCCATTCGGCTCTTGAATCGGGTGCAACCGCAACAAACAAAAAACAAAAACATAAACAAGAAAACATCTTAAAATGACTATGTGCAAACAGATCCAAAGAAAAGTCAGCAAAATATTGCAAAAAAAATCACCATACACCAACCCTGTGCAAATATCCCAGTGGGGTACAAGTCAAACAACAACCACCACAAGAAAACTTAGATTAAGGCCATCAGTCTAACTCTGTACTACAACAAACATGGCCAAACCAAAAAACTTTTCGAAAATCACCAAAATAAAGCCATAAAAGCAATGAAACAGTGGTCATAGGAACTGTGACCGAATTTTCACAATCAACGACGTAAACAACATGTACTACCAAACTCTGCAGCCATAGCTGGCTGCATGAGTCACTCCACAACAGTAGGAGCATCAGTCGGAGTATAAACATGTATCAATGCACCTTTACGATCAGCACACTAAATCAAAACACAGATCATACTTTGCATACTTTGCATACTTTGAGGCCAATCAACCACAACGTTTTTTTAGATATGTATTTTTTTCTACCATTGACCACATACACAATCAATCAGATTCTAGAAAAGACAAATTCATCATCAAATACCATTATGCCTAGTGTTTCAATATTACCAAGTTTAATGTCATAAAATGGCAAACATGCAGGTATCCAGGCTATCAAACAAACCAAAAACCAAAGACATGCATGTAAATGCTAAATTGTCTTACCTCATGCCTCAACTTGTTAATCTCACAGCAAATGGCTGCAAATACTGTGATAACTTTATTCAAAACCTGAATAAGACAAGCAGAAAGGAACAGTTTGTTAAGTTGTAAGTCGTCACTTATTTGCACTCTTAATTATTCTTGTCAATTGCTACACGTTGGTGATATGAAAATACATACCTTGTTGTCAGTCTTTATAAGTTCCAACAGTGATGCTTGTTCATATGGAAGAAGCTGCAAACAAAGCACATGTTATTTAAATACAGTTATACCATGACCAACGCTGTTATATCGAACATATTAAGTTTTCAGTTTCAGTTTCATTTATTTGGTATAGCCTTGTGATGCCATTCGGCTCTTGAATCGGGTGCAACCGCATCAAACAAAAACAAAAACATGAACAAGAAAACATCTTAAAGTGACTATGTGCAAACAGAAAATCCAAGAAAAGACAGCAAAATATAGCAGAAATAGCACCGTACACCAACGCTGTGTGCAAAAATGCCAGTGGGATGCAAGTCAAACAACAACAACCACAAGACAACTTAGATTAAGGCCATCAGTCTAACTCCGTACTACAACAAACAAACGAACATATGTGTTGGCTATACACGTTTTACTTATTGAGGTACGTTTTCCAGAACACGGGGGTGAAGTTTAGGCTCTAAACGGTTTGGCGCTGCTAAGATTGTAATCTCCGCGTTGATGCTGTGGATGAATATATATAGTATGTATGATTGAATTTTAATTACCATGTAAGTTTTTTTCGTGTGACGAGGGAAATCGTGTAGAATTATAAGTTAGGCCAAGAGGCAGGGAGTGCTAATTTCAGACCCAGGAACAAAACGCTATTTTTCCCATGAGGTCTTATTTGTTAAATCCGGTGTTGGCCAAAACTGCATTTTCCAACAATGTAACCCACGCATTTGGTGAGATATTACTGTATATGAAATTAGAACTTGACTTAAAGCTTTCGTGACTGCAGGAATTCATACTCTAATAAAATAATTAAAAATTACGACGTTTCGATCGCAACACAAGCAATCGTCTATATTTCTTCCTGCCTCAGCAGTCCGCCTGCTGTATTTTTTCACCTGAAGACGATTGTTCGTGTTGCGATCGAAACGTCGTGATTTTTTATTATTTTTCTATCTACGTGACTTTACCGAAAGACCCAAAGAGTATGCAATTATAACATTAACATTCATTGAAATACTCATAAAATTCTTGTAATAATGTAATAAAAATGTATGCATTGGATGATTCAAGATAACTTTCAGGGGTATTCCATGAGATGGTGTGAATCACTGGAGAAAAGACTAATAGCATATTTGGAAAACATCAGTATCTGATGAAGCTCAAATTTTTTATATTAAAGATTAATATTTACTTTTATAGATAACACCTAGAAAAAATTGCCCTATATCGCCTTTGGTGACCTGTGTATACAGGTAATTTCGTTTTTATTTGAAGTCAAATATATTGTTCTTCTTCATGTGCTTCATGTGTGTGTGGCTGGTACAGAAACGTAGCATTCATCCCTGCCAGGCTGTCTAATCCTTATCCCAGCAAAGTATTGTTGAATTTTCCAACAACTAACTTTTGTCTACCTTTACAGCCAAACTGGACCTGACCTGGATAACATTGTGTGCTTTCATTCTTTGGATCAGATTCAAAACCGTGAAAAATGCATCTGCCAATAACATGGCTCCTCTAGTGACAACCTTGCCCACATAGCCACACCACACCTGCAAGGCGACTGGGTCGAGTGTGAAGTCCCAGGAGTCACCGATGGAGTCATCCAGGGCATCCTCTATCCCCTTCAGCTGCGACACATAGTCCTCGAGGAAGCGACCAAACTTTTTGACTTGTACCTCCCCGAGCACCTCTGTGTATTCAAAACAGGTAGTCCGTGTCCATAAACTCACACGACCGGAATTCACATTAAAACCCCACACCAGTTTTATGAATGACAATGCCTATGAGCTAGTAAACACGATAGTCTGTTTTGTGCTAATTTAATCATTTAGGTCAATTCGCCAAAGGCTTTTGAAAACAAAGTTTTTCAGCAGTTTGAGTTTTGAATTAATTTGATTTGTTGCACAGATGATTCCGTTTAGTTACTTTCCCAGGTATTTTACAAGGGAGATCGATACTGCTTGAGCACAGGGACAACAAAAACAAAAGAAAACATCAATATTGTAGAGAATTAGTACAGGTTCCTGAAGGAATATTGCACAATTAACAAACGAGGCCTTTACGGCCATAAATACACACGAATAGAAAGAGTGCAACACTAATTCTGATTCTAAGTTTGTTGAATATTTAGGACAAGGGAGCCATGATTTGGAGAATTGCAGTTTTACAAATTCACTATATTTCAGGAAATCAGAGTGATAATGCTTTCAAATAAACGAAATGTAATTTTCTCGAGAAATTTTAATATAACGAGCAAAGTGTCGCCTGCATCTGGACTCTGCACTTCGCCAATGACAATTAAAATGTTCAAGTCTTTAATACAGCTGCAGCACAAAAAGTGAATTCAGTTATAAAGTACAGCTGAAATGTGAGGCATGGGAAGGTGGGCTGCTCAACTTTGAAGTTGAAATGACATTACAAAAGTCTTACAGTAAGCAGTCTCTAAATATTAAGAGCAGCAAGTTCTTAGTCTTTGCGGTCACAGATCACTACTTGGTAAACGTCTGCACACAGATAGTCAAGCAGTTCACCTCTTGAACATGAAGACTGCCTGCATATTACTATCTCCACCCAGAGATGTCAACAGAAACCGATTCATACTATGAGGACTAATTTATATGTACTGCTTTAGTGATAGGTATCATGATTAAAAAACAATGAGGACCACACTGCATACATGGGGTGACAGAGGTGGCCGTGCCCATATATCTGACCACAAGCCAAAAAATAAGTAATATTTTTAAAAAAATGTAAAAACACGCTTTTATGAAATGTACTAGTCATAGCAGAACTCCACGACTCCAGGAAGTGGCCCCGAAGCTTGCCATCACGTAAGGGAGCGTGGTGATTTACAGCCAACGTCAGTTGAGCGTGGACAATTAGACCCAAGCCGAAACATAACATAAAAAAAAATTAATCCGTAAAAACAAAGTTTTTCACTATAAAATCCTTTATATGCGTGGCGGCTAGAGTCCTCTCGTCCTCTGGCTTGAGATGGCTGCCACCTATGGGTCAGATGATTGCCTGGCAGCATTAAGCAATTGGTAATTAAATATAAAAAAAAATTCCTAAACAGTGTAAAATTTTGAAAAAAAAATTCACGAAAATTAATTGTCATGCACAACGAGTCTGTGTGGAAAATGTCAGCTCGATTGGATTACGGGAAGTGGGTTAAAAAACGACCGAAAGATGTGCATGGTCATAAGCAAGCAAGCAAACACGCAAGCATGCAAGCACGCAAGCAACCAAGTGAACTTAATATAAAGGATTTAAAAAGAATGTTAACAAATTTATTTTTTTAGAATATAGTATTGTCATCAGTATGACATAAGTACGTACCAAGTTTGCAGTCCATACCACATTGGGAAGTTGGTTAAAATTGAGTTACAAGATGTGAGGATACGACAACAACAAAGCGTGTCAAAAATGTATTCCTGCTGAAGCAAGCGTTAGGTGGTACAGTACTTATGTCTTTCCTACAAATTGGTACTAATTGTATCGACCCTTAAAGGATGACAAAGTTGACACTTGAAATAGCTACATCCTTAGAACATTAATTCCAACTTGTGTCCATTGCTGCGTTCACCCACCACGTATTTAAACTACCGCATGCAACCTGTATTTAATGTTGGACTGCGGGCGTCGTAGTAAGGAGCTTACACATGCAGCAAAGTATATTTGTGTCCAGTACTGTACTATGCTCCCTATCTTCACCAACCTGTAACAAGCCAACGATTGGCCACGTTACACATAATACAGGATGTTTCAAAAAGATGGACCCGATTTGAAATCGATATATCTCTGAAATTGGCTTAAGAGGAGGTCCCCATTCAGTAGTAGATTGACATTAGGGTTACATGCATGTGAGCAGACAAACACAATTCGAATTTATAATCATTGCCTTGCCTGAAAAAGGCAAATCTATCTATACTCTTAGGTTTTTTCGGTAAAGTCACGTAAGTAAAAAATATTTAAAAACTGATAATAAATGAAAAAAATTAATTAAATCACCACGTTTCGGATGCAACACAAGTCTCCGTCTTCAGGTGGTGTTGCCTCCGAAACGTCGTGATTTAATTGATTTATTTTCATTTCGATTTAACGCTTTCGTGACTGCGGGGATTCATCTTCTTGGTTCTTTCGGTAACGTCACGTAGAAGGGAAATAATAAAATATAAAACATAATAAAACACAAGTCTACTCATTCAGACGCTGTCTTTCCGACAGCCCTGTTCTTCACCCGAGGACGGCTGCTTGCATTGTGGCCGAAACGTCGTGAGAATTGTATTTTGTTTTATTTGTATTATTTTATTATTTCCCTTATTTTCATTTACTATTATTTTATTTTTTATATTTTTTTCCTATGTGACTTTACCGAAAAAAATTAAGAGTATGAATCATTGCAGTCACAAAAGCTTCAAATCTAAACCTACCTAATGTTGTATGAGCAAAGTTTAGGGAAATGGCCCCCCATCCCTAAACATCACATGACAGGGTATGACAGGGTTACGTGACCCCCCCAAAAAAAAGTGCCCACGACTAACAAAGCAGGCAATCTGCTCTCGCCACACACACACACACAACCTTGAGCGGCGTGACACACAAAGCAACAACGTGAAGCAGCAATACGAGAAAACGAGACCACCGACTTTGCTTCCACATCCCACATCTCAGCACCGCGGCAATCTTACAACGCGCGGACTAGGGCCGAGGCAAAGGTTCGTCTTCGTCGTCGTCATCCCCCGTGTAGCCATCGCAGACTGTAGGGGCAAGTGCTGTTAGCGAGCAGCTATGAAGGCCGGCACGCCCGCCCGGCCGTCTTTGTCTCCCCCAAGTGGCGCCGTTTCACTCCACACACCGCACCGGCTACTCGTGAGGCCGAGCCGAAACCTCCCTCCCTCCCTCTCTCTCTCTCGCACGCTGTAGTTTTGCTGCACGTCTCTACAAGTGGCTGGTCGCGAGCGAGCGAGAGAGTGCGAGGCGTTTGAGTGAAGGCGGGCGGAGAAGGGGACGAGGAAGGCACTCACTGACGGAGCCGTCATCGAAGCGGTCAAACTCCCACCCCTCAGCCGCCATCGCTGCCGCAGCAGCAACAACAGCACGTGACACCCCCTACCCACGTGACACCCCCCCTACCCACGTGACACCCCCCTCGCCACGTGACACCCCCCCACCCCCCTACCCACGTGACACCCCCCACCCCCCTAGCCACGTGACACCCCCCACCCCCTACCCACGTGACACCCCCCTACCCACGTGACACCCCCCTAGCCACGTGATTCGCGTCGTACGTGACCACAGACAAAGATAATCCGACAGCCCTATTTACAACATGCTGCAAATTCATTAGCACCATTAACAGATTGTTGGGGCAAGTGCTATTATGCAGCACCTATGAAGGCTGCCACTGTGGCATTCGAGGGGGTGGGTGGCCAACACCACGCTCGACTGCCCTTGTATCCCTAGTGGATATGTTTATACACCACCGCACCAGGTACTCGTTTGAGGCTGAGTCGACCTAGGGGAGGCCCACGAGCGGTTCAAATAATCGTCACTGGTGCATACTTGTCAACCCCTTATCAGTGCATACCTTATTACAGACCAATTCAGGCCGTTTTGGTCATCCCGTGCTCCTATTAAATCTCAACGTTCATCCAAAAAAGTCCAATCACAAGGGAGAAACACAAAAAATAGACCTAAAGTTTTTTTTTTACGTATTGAAACTGCTGTACGCCGTATGGACCTGAAAACTAATTTCCCTGTACAAGAATACGGGGTAAGGGGCCGTCCATAAATGACGTCACGCACCGAGGGGGGGGAGGTGTGACGAGGGGGGGGTTGAGAAATGTGACTTCACATCAAAATGCGCAACTTTAAATACATATGAATTAACTATAATTGTTATAACAACGCTAATTTGGATCATTTTCATTATTAACTATTTGATTATTCAAATTTACTAAGGTCACCTTTTATTTATTCCATGAAGGAGCATTTTTCTTCTCCATTGCAGAATGGAGAAGCGTACATTTTGTAAAAAAAAATTAATGATTATTATTAAACATTTTGATTCTAATTATTTTACCAGGGCTTTTTCATTATGTTATAATTGTACTCTCCATTTTGCTTCGTTCTACTACAAAGTTTCAAGTATTTTTGTTAGTTATAATTACTTTTATATTTAATAATTATAAGAGAATTTCAATATAATATTCTGAACATCTGCAGTTTTAGTTAGACGTTGAATATTTTCAACTGAATTTTATGCTAAATTTCAGCTTTTCAACGCCTCCTTTAGTTTAAAGTGATTTGAAGCATGTTTAATTTTCTAAATGCAAATGTTTTTTGGAGGGGGGCAGAGCTTTGTGACGTCATATTTGAGGGGGGTCTGACTTTTTGTGACGCCGTGTGACGAGGGGCGGAGGGGGGGTAAAAAATCGGCCAAAATCGCGTGACGCCATTTATGAACGGCCCCTAAACCGTATGGGTTGACAAAGTGTGCTGGTGTTGTCCGTGAGCAGGAATCGAACCCGGGTGGTCAGGTTCGTAGCGCTAACCGCTCCGCCAACGCTCTAGCACAGGTGTCGGGAACCTTTTTGACTGGGAGAGCCATAAAAGCCAAATATTTCTAGATATATTTCATTGACAGCCATATAGTATTTTTAACGTATAATAAGTTAAATGTCTTACTTTTAATGCGACTTCTGGTCACGGGAACCGTGACCCGTGAAATTTTATCTTCAAAACTAATTTCTGTTTACTTTAAAATGACACCGTATTATTAAGCAATATCACAAGTATTTTAAAATCAGTTCCAAACTGATTTTATTTATTATTATTATTTTTTTCAACTCAAAATTGTCTGGGAGCCATATGCCGTCACCGGAAGAGCCATATATGGCTCGCGAGCCATAGGTTCTCGATGAATGCGAATAGTGCTAATTGTGAAATGCGTGGGAGGTGGGCGGGGGGTTTTCACAATTAGCACTATTCGCATTCCTGCATTTCCCATAAATATGCTAAATTCCTCTTCAAATGCAAATTCTTTTGTCAAGGCTCTCTTCCTCCTCCCTCACAGCTTAAATAGACACTCCAAGCCTAAGACGTGTCATTTAGACTCTGTCTTATCGACAGACATGTTCTTCACCTGAGGACAGCTGCTTGCGTTGTGGCCGAAACGTCGTGAGAATTATTTTATTATGTTTTATTTTTATTATTTTATTACTTCCCTTCTACGTGACTTTACCGAAAGAACCATGAAGATGAATTCCTGCAGTCACGAAAGCTTTAAATCGAGATCTAATATTACTTCACATTCACTGATACTAAGAATGATCACTTAGTTTTAGGTCAATAGAACCAACCTCCAATTCACCAATGCCTAGAATCACCACTTTGCTTTATATCAATAGACACCACATCTGATGCAGCACTCTGTTTTGCGCCAAAACTATCCAGCCACCGCATGCCTCGCTTTCTGTCTCCCTCGCTCTCTGCTCAGGCTGTTTCGCCAAGGTGGCGAGATGTTAACTACCTTGCCTTGTATACAGGAGGTCGTGGGTTCGACCCTGACCCGTGTAATTTTCTCTTGGGCCTCCAATTTTCCCTCTAAATTTAGAAACATGCGTTTACAATATTTGGCTGCTATAGATTTCCGCGTGCTAAGCCACTTCATTGAGCTATCATTTGGTTACCAGGTCGCTTTTGAAAAAGATAAATATAGCTCAGTGGGCCTCTCAGGCCTTCATCCTTCCCTTTTTCCCTCCACCTAACCTCAGTATGCCGCCGCTGATCTTCACATCACCTACCTTGAGACCAAGCCATATTCGGCTTTGCCAATCCATGCTCCCCTAATAACTACCCTGAAACATAACGTCCCATCGAATTCAACCCTCCTAATGCCATACCGCGGAAAAAAATGAGAATACAAATAACAATCAATAAAAGGAAAGCTGTACAATAAAAAATAATAGATATTCCAATGATAGCGTGTATTGCATAATAATAACTGGAAAAGGCGAAGAGGGGAAGAAGTAATGAGGGATGAAGAGAGAGACGAAAAAAAGTCCTCTTCAACATTGTAATGGGTCTTGATATCTTAACCAAATATTTTATGGGGAGCCCCTCAGCTTCAGGGGGGGCGGGTTTCCCAAGGATGCTCAGCAGAGTCCGTCGCACCACGCGGTCGATCTTCCTGACTGATGCGGGGATGGTCGCCGGATGTCGCTCACAGTTGGCCCTGTGGATCGAGCGGATGAAGCTAAACTCAATGCGCCAGCAGATGGATGTGCGACGGGTGCAAGCCCAGAACTTTTCAAGGTTACTGATGCCCTAAAGGGCAGGTGACGATGAGTTCAGAGACATATGAATCATGAACGTATGGGTTTTCAAGCGAGAAGGCTGAACATTCAAATGGTGATTTCCCAATGTAACATATACACATTGCGGTGGCAGAACCTGGATGACCTTGACAGGTCCCTCCCTATGGTCTATGCCACTTTGGAGACGTTCAAAATGGCACTTGTGAACAGTGCAGCCTTGCCAAATGCTCTACTTTCCACTGGGTACACATAGCGGTCTTTGCCCGAGCCCGTTCATTTGTGGCCTGGGCGGCAGCAGAGGTTACTCTAGTGGCCTCTATCACTTCCTGCAGGGAAGTTAACTTGTGGCTGAAAGATGTCGACCATGAGCTCGCGCGGGTAGGTGTTTTGGCCAGCTGATGCTCAGTCGGGGGTGTGGGTTCCCGCCCGTAAATCAAGTAGAATGGGGAGAATCTCGTAGCAGTTTGTTTTTCATTGACTACTTGGCAGAGCATGGTCTAAATAGTGTGATTCAGCCTTATCAACCATCCTCTTTGTCTGCGGGTGGTAAGATGAGGTGCGCAGCTTGTTAGTGTCCAAAATAGCACATACCTCCTTCAGCAACTGGAATGAAAAAAATGACCTTGGTTGGGCAACAAGAGTTCGGGGAGGGGGGGGCTTATCCATAACATACCCATTTATAAAGGCCTCGGTGATGGATTGTGCCGTCTGGTCTGGGAGAGTCCACACCATAGGCCAACGGGGCAAGTATTTTGCCGTGACCTGCAGATAACAATTCCCTTGCGGAGTCGTGGGGAAGTGACCCAGGATGTATAGGGCAACTAACTAATTTACTCTAGAGACAGCAATGGATTACAAGGGAACTTTGAGAGTACAAGGTCTGCGTCTTGGACAATCCTCACACACTGCTACCCAGCGATGAACGTTTGTAAACATACCCAACACTGCGCTAGACTTTATGTCTCCCAAATGCATGATCTGCCACATGTCCTCTTCAACCCTCCTGCGCCATGGACTGGGAACGACAATTAACGCATAAAAACTGCGAGATTGCGTCCCAATGCATCAGAAGACCCCCCCCCCACCCAACGACAAAAGTGCAACACGACCGACGATCGAGATGCAGGCCTCTTTGTATTGATGGAGTCCCCAATGGGGTTTGAAGAAGCATTGTCCTCCTGACCTTCAATCCAGTTGGCCTTAGTGTATCCCAACCTTTAGTCCCCAAGGGCCGACTGGTCTTCTTCTGGCCCCCGCTGATACTGGAGCAATAACCCAGCTCCCTGCTGGGTCAGTCTCCTCACAGCATGAAGATCCTGTCATACACGCACACCCTACCGGGGAGCTTAATCGAGAGTGCATCTGCGTTGGAATGGCAGGCACCCTTGCGAAGAGCAACATCGTAATTAAATTCCTCCAGTTGCTCAATACATTGCTTCATCTAGCATGATGGCTGTTCAATTGGAAGAGAGTATTATTGTATATCCACGTGGTCAGTGCATACTATGCATTTCTGGCTGTAAAGGCGCAGCCGGTTTAGGTGCTCCTCGAATGAGCGACCAAACACAATAAAATTTGTCCAGATATGAGCCATGTATCCCACTGGAGACCCGCTAATCCTAATTCCATCAACCTTTGAAAAGTAGTGGAATCCGTCATTAGCCCCATGGGCAAACAGTTACATTGCAGCAGTCTCTGGGGTGTCCTAAATGTTGTCTTTTGTCGGGACTCTGCATCGACAGGAAGCTGCCAAAATTCAGACAAGAGGTCGCAAGGGACTGAAAAATGTTTCCCCTGCCAGTACATCTAACGAGTCGTCAATATACGACAAGGGATAGGTG